ATATAATAATTAAGGCACCTACTTTGAAATGCAAATTAGATGGATGGTGGCTGATATCGCATCCCACCGAGTCGTCTGTCTGGATCGTTATTGTCTGCTGACCATGTTGTAAATGCGAGCGCCATTGAAGGAGCGAACGAAGCGTTCAGCCATTCGCGCTTTGTACGATGACGAAAACGGCGCGTAATCTTGAAAAGATAGTCATCTCTATCGGCATACACAGACAACAAGACGACAACAGCCGATCGAGCCGCTGTTGAACGCAACTGCAGCAAAAAAGCAACGCAATTTCAAATCTTCACAAAAAGATTAACTTCACGACCATTTAGTTCTGCTCAAGAAGCTGTATTCAGTGGTAAACCGTATACAACAGGTTTATACTTAAGAATCCTTATTACACAGCCACTGGCACTGCCATCACCTAATAAACTTCATAAGAGAGATCTACAAATTCAAATAGATAAGGTAAAATGAAATAATTCTACTACGACTGTTCTAATCACCGACAAATCTATAAAATTAGATAGAAAGAATGTTTTGTGTAATTCGATTTCTCGGCGAATGAATAACTATACTCTAGATCCGCATCTGTTTCGTATCTCGACGACAAACACGCGTATGGTGAATCTGAGAGCTTATTATAATACGTTTCAGTAACAAAGGTGCAATGTGATCTACTGCTAGTTTTTTTTATATACCCTACAAACAGTGCATTGCGCCTCTCCCTTTTTTTCTCTCCCTACCTAATAATACAAGGGCGGTGTATGGCCATAACATTTATGTGAAATAATATTTCATAGAAATTTCTCATAGAATAATTCACGTATCTTAGATGCGAGCTGCGCAAATGACAGCTTATAGGTTCTAGCAGATTCCTTTAACCGTATTACTACTACGATACACGCACATGAGACCAAATTAGCTATTAATTTGTAGTATTTTGTAATTGTAAGTGTAAATTTGTAATAACTAATAATTAATATTAACACTAGACTGGCTCTAAAACTATGTAGCATTTGCTGGTCTAAAAATATCAAATTGACTATAAACGATAGCAAGATCTGGTGCATGAGGTCATGTTGTTTACTCTGTAATCAATCTAATAAGCCCATCGCAGGCAACCTACTAAGATCGAAACAAGATCATTTAGTTCATCCGTTCTTGACAAGCACATCCGTCCGAAAATACTTTATTTCACACTAGGTAGACATACTATACAAACTCTAATGGCTTGTTACTAACCTTTTTGCCTGAAGCAAGGCAGAACAATATCTGTTAAATTACGAAGCTATTTTTCATACTTTTATAAACAACTGACTGTGAAACCTGCAGCTAGGATACGATCGTTTTAGTCTTATTGTAACAATATTGACACAACGATTTCTATTTTAAACGCATAAAGACGCGCGAATTTCTAATGGATGTTTTAATGTTGCTCGTAAGCAAGTTCGATACGAAACATATAAATGTTTCGTAACTAGTAACGATGTTTAACTGTTAATTTCTAGCCTAATGCAGCTATGTATGTATAGTCATCAAATTCATAGTTCGCTAATACCTTAGACACAAAAACAGATATTTCATCATTACAGAAATCATGTTCGCAGGTGTTTCATCGGCCTCCTCATGCTTAATTGATGTATTATGAAACTCAACGACCTGCAGATGCAGATGAGGGTCGACAATACTGCTTAACAAAATACGGATATAGATGCTTCCAGGATTTCCAGTGACGACAGTGCGACAGCTGTCTAAGTTCATCATGACCTGCAGTTTATACTCGAAGAGGACTGAAAAGAGAGAAGCAGTCCCATGGGCCATGTTTTGCTACTTTGGATTTTTCCTAATAGTGTGTCCAGGATTCGTGTGCGAATCGGCAATGGCTCTTACAAGAATAAGGCGAGCACGACTCACTAACGATGGCTTTAGGTGTTGTTACATTAGTTTATTGTACGATACATTTATAAGCACTCACATATTTGTTTATTGCATTTAGACTATGTTTAGGTTTCTTAAAAGCTAAGATTCCAGTTTAGACTGAAACAAGGTTGCAGAGTTATGAGGCAGGAGACACTAGCCCTTGACTATCTTAGGCTAGGAGTTTTTAAACAGGCCGGCCAGCCGATGTCGTTTGCCCAAGCTAAACTTCATCATTGGCTAGGTAACACATTTGAGTCATGTTCCGTAGAACGTAGCTCTTGAAATCAGCTCGCACCTCTTCCACGGATCTGTTAGCGTCCAGTTCCTGAAAGGCATTCATATACAAAACGGATATATCGAAAACTAATTGCGCTGCAATTTCAGCAATAAAACATTATTCGAATTTATAGATATTCTTGTATGTATTTACTTAGTGCTTACTACAACAGGGGCAGGAAGCTTAAACTGTGATGTCCCCCGAAGCCAATCATCGTGAAGAACATGAAGAGCCTGAAGATATTCCAAAGGAACGGCTGCTTCTTCATTCCGATTGCGCGTTCGGATCCTCTCGAGGGCTACCTCCGGATTGGTGCGCAGATATACGACGAGGTCTACACTGACGTCCTGCGTCGCGCAGATAAACTCGAGCCATTCGTTACAAATGATGCGCTCGCAATCTGTCATCATGTTGCTAATATTAAAATAAATATCACATATTTCGTTAGTGTATATATCTTGATTGTGTCCTCAACGATTGGAAAAAGCAGATATTTAAATTACTTTACCCTAACGAGTGTGTGTGCGCGTTAAGCTCATGGGGTAAGTCATGAAGACCTATGAGTTCAGTTAACTAAGGACAATTTACCTTTCTTTTTGAGCTCGATTCACCTTTAATCAATGTATAATAATCTGCTGCAAAAACATAGGCTTTGCATTCTGCTCTTCTTTCATACTTTCCCCATTATTTGTAAAAGTCTTTGCTGTGAGAGCATATGTGCTGCATGCAACATTCAAAGCAAGCAAACTCTTTATTAATCAGTCTCGAAAAAGATGCTAAATCTTATTGTAACGCAATAAATTCGCAAATCTTTACTCACGTATTAATATAGTTTTGCACAAAGCAATACCGCGCACTGTACAGTGATCTCTCCATAAGCTTAAACGTCGTTGGAACCTTTTTAGTGTGCATCTGTAATCTATAAAACCAAAAGTAGCTAGAGCTGTATATATATTTTTATAAATATTTTTTGTAAGGCTATATATTTATTTTGTTTTCTACAAAATCTAGTGAGATCGGCAGTAGTATGCCTAAGAGCACCATCCCAATAGTATACTGAAGCTCACTCTATTTTGACCGGGAAGAAAATATTTGGCTATCCAATATATTCAACGTCTACTGCTAGCTCCCAAACAACAACGAGTTTGTGGACGCTTTCAAATTCAGCGCGATAATATGTATCGCACAACGTAAACAGCCGAGGGTATTTGGCAAGGTATGTAGTTATAGAAATAAAATGGGGCATCGTTATATAGAAGTAATTCCCACCGCCTTAATGTGCTAGTAGAACCTTGTAATGCCGGCTAAATCGGCCAAAAGGTCATTTCACATTTGCAACATTTACCGTGTCGAATTAGTGAATTGTAACCGCTTAGTTTGTGACTTTATCTATTTGTATTTTACGTCTTTCAGGTAGTCAGAAACTCTTTATGTTTCAATGTCGAAAGACCGTTACAATGTATTCGCATCTCGGGAAAACTACAACAACCTAGTCAACCGACTTCGGGCTATCAAGAGGGGCCACGACCTTCTTGAGCAGAAGGCAGAATCGCTCACCGTAACTGATCTAATATGATATATGTTCTATATCTCATTTTATCATTCGTTGACCCATATATATATATATATATATATTATCTATATATGTATATATATATATATATATATGCATACACATATATATTTGAAACTGGCCGTTGGGAACATAGAGCGGTTGAACGAGCGTACGCTGACTATTCCGCACAGGTACAGAAATAATACACACAGGTATACCGCACAGGTAAATGGCTCAAAGTAACGATCCTTAGTTAGACGTAGGAAAGCGTGGATTCGATGACTCGCTTGTCGAAGCAGAAGAAATCCCTCCGAGATGTTGAAATCTCGGGCGCGTGGATTGTAACATGGCATTCCATCCACACAACATACGACAACGGTGATCGTTTAAGAGCAATCTTTTTGCACATATATTGCGGCAAACAACAGATCACATTTACAATTAGTCGGCGCCTACGTGGCTTTTTAATACGCTTTATTACCAAAAAGTAAGGTAGGCAGCATGGGGTCTTGGAAAGTTTAAGTAACTTGACGCGAGCACCTTCAATTAGTTAAGCAACTAACTGTACGTATTATAACTAATGCTTTACATAAATGTTGGTGTCTGCGTTTATTTATCTGTAAAAGATTCGACTACGCGAGTACGAAAAAATTTATCGGACCAAAAAAACCGAAATGATCAGTGTTTTCACCACAGCCATGATGGCAATTGCCGAAGCGAAATATGTGAATTCGCATTTCACACAAAGTGTCATCAATGGATACGTAGACCGTGCTTTCGTCACCGTTAAATCGCATCAAAGTCAGGTTGCTGGGGTACACGTTGTGGATTTTCAAGTCTACCGAAAGGAATTCGAACACGATCCATTTGCACTTATTGGTTTGTCTCGTGGCGGTCAGAAACTAAAAGCAGTAAGGCAATGCTTTGCGAAACTCATAGATGTACGTTGCCTTGCACGCTCATAATTAATCGACAATACTAAATATAATGGTCGTCCTTTCCTTATTTCACATGCTGTTTTTCTAATACGACTAAGTATAGAATATCTATCTCTTCAACAAAACTTCGACGAAGAATAAGAAAACTTCGCTAAAACATATACCAGTTATAATTAGCACGTAGATTTTTCATCATCTGATTACTTCAGAGCCATTTAGCTAACAGTAGTTAGGCGCCTGTGCATATGGAAGAAGTCGTATTGATATAACATAAATGCTTTGTTTAATGCTACTGCGACACGTACTGGGCTGCTTTCTCACGCGCTGGGACGGCCGTAGCTCTGCGTGACCGTCACTTCTGTACAAAAAATCGAAAAAGACCTTGCCCAGGCACTTCAATCAACAAACAGACGAATGAAGGCTCTTGAGACCTTCATAATACCTCGATTTGAGAATACGATCAGGTAAATTCGATCATGCTAAAACAGGGTCAAATAAAGGCCGCGGTGAAACAAAGGCGCAGATCTATACCAAGGCGAATGTGACAAAAATCAAAGACATAAATTCCGAGCTTAGCAGGCAGGTGTTTATACACCGTAGCCTAAGTTTGCAACTCATTTATCAATACCATTGCATTCTTCGTTTAACGACTTTTCAGCACCCTTCCAACAATTTCAGACACATTCAGGAAGAGCTTGACGAGTTGGATCGTGAATCGTTTGCCAGGATAAAGTTGATCCAAAAGAAAAAAATGCACCATTTTACAAAAGAAGACACTGACCGATACAGCACTGGATACTCCTGTCCGAAATCTCGAAGAGAGGACGACGACTGCACTACCAGCAGTCTTACTGGAAGTGGAAGCTCATGCGTAATACCGAGATGTATTCGGGGTGAGGTCCATGATGATTTAAAATATCCTTCTGACATTACCCTTCGCAATGAAATTCTAGATCTTCTTCATAACGAAGAAGATCTGGATATTATCTTCTGATCTGCCGGAAGGAAGTGTTTTTGCTTAGCTGATCCTATCTTGTTAAGGCGATTGTAAATAACGTTCTTGTTACTTACTGTGAATGATCAGTAAATAATCCGTGATTGGTTCTGTTAATCGACTTAGCTGTGCTCACTTCTTTAGAATTGAACAAAAAACCAAAGCGATAAGAAACAGTTCAATAAAAGATAAAGACAATTCGAAGATTGTGCGTCGTCTATTGACAGCAATCGCATATGAAGGAAAAACGCAAACTCAAACAGTTCTTGTGGGAAATACTGGAATGTACTGCTTAGGACTTTTCCCCCTTAGGAACTTAATATTACTAAGCTAAAATCTAAAGTGAATTAATGATAAGTTAACAGATACACAAGTTCAACCAAGTGAGTTTAGAACGAAATGTCCAGTCTAGACTCTTTACTTTTAAAATATATAGAGAAACTATCGCTCACCTTGTGAGTTGAACGTAGCTTTGAAAGGCCATGTTCCATCTGAGTGGGTCTTTGTAAATCAGTTCAAGTAGATTGTGTTTTCCACCAAGATTGGTCCATCGATGTACAGGTTCAGGCATAATGGTAATATCAGACAAATTTCCGAATGAATTGAGAAATGTCGATTTTCCCGAGCCAATATTTCCTTCAACAATGATCTTAAAAGGAATATATGCGACGGTCTCGGTTAAAAAACACTCATATTATAATGGGTACTAACCTAACGCCAGTATACTAATGTTAAAAAAATCATACCGCCGTACTTCCATTGCAGCTCTGGGTTATTTATCTACGTCTTAGTAGAAATGCAAGGAAAACCACGTATGTTGTAAAGCAGACAGTGAAGAGGCGCCAAATAAAAACCGTATCGGCTTCGAAAAGGTCTAACTTAAGTAAAACTACCCATTTGTTTTGGTCTCACCCTACTACGTATCCTCAGATAGCCGACGAACATCATGGAAGTAATTTTAAAGAATAAAAGAATGAAACAAACTTACCGTGAAATTTCTTTTGTTGATGGACTTTGGGTTTACATTCTCCATTTTGAATCGCAATGTGGCTGAAACATTTTGGAAATGATTTAGTAACGTAATGCTATATTCCAGTGTGTACTAGAAACTCATGTTTAAGCATAAATGTATTGTATGCTTCCACACAGCATTGTTTTTGCTGATGCGCTCATTCTAAATGTAGTTACAGTAAAATGTAGCTAAATCTAATTTACGTGACGTTCACTTACGGAAGCAAAAGCGTCTCCTGTTACCTCTTCATTTAATTAGGTAAATTTCGTATAAAGTTCAATTATATGTATACAAGGTGAGCTTTGAAATTTATATCTTCTCGCAGAAGCTTAATTTTAGCAGAATCGCAGAAGCTAAAAAGAAAAGAATAAACATGACCTGCTCGTATGTAACGTTAATCGCAAAAGAAATTGAAGTCTTACTCATTGTTTGGATCACATTTCTTACGGCAAAATGCATAGAAAGCTAAGTGGCTCGGTTTCATGAGGTGTGTTTATGTAAAACCAATACTACTAGGTGAAAACTCGTTTTACGTAGAATATAAAAAAAAAACTTGTAGCCACAGCGGAAAGCAGTGATTTGTCATCAAAGTTTAAGCAAAGAACAGTTATTCAATCTGCTGGCGGGATGAAACGCCAACAAAATAATGAGCTTCTTGGATTACTTGAAATCGATAGTGCACAGCATTGCATATTTTTTCGAAGAAGATCCTGCTGTATCACTTCACAGGTACAAATTGAAAAAATTTGAATTTGTAAAAAAACTGACGTGGTTGATAGGGCACAATGATTCTATACATGCTTCTTTTAGCACGAGATTTGGAGTCGTTACTTGAACACTGTCATCAGCAAATTTTCGTTTCGTTAATAAGGCCAGACGAAGAGTCTCGCACAGAACTCTTTTTTATTTTTTGATTTTTAATACCGAAAATACGTATTTAGGGAATCTTCGCTGACTGAATCTTCCAAAACATAACTCCTGCTTTCGTTGGTATCAAGCGTTCGTTATGGTTAAGGGCTACTTTTTCGAGCTCATGTTGTAACACTAGCACGTATTCTAGCTAAAAAATTATGCGCATAACAAATTCTGACAAGATAATCAGTTGTATCAGAAAGGGTAAGTTAAAGCTCCTTAAAACTGAAGGTTGGTTCAGCATGTATCCACTGCTCTTCAAAGTCAGTTTTTTTTTAAAACTTCAATTAAAAAAAATTGATCTTGAATTTTGAACCATTTTGTACAGATATAAACATTGGTTTATAATCCGTATAATTAATGTGCTTAAACCAGTAGTTTTTAACCGATAGAATCGATAGAAAGAGCCTGCCGATACTTTGGACAAAAATAATAGCTCTTAAATAGATGCACGCAAAGCAGGAATATGAGAGCTATTGTAAAACTGTGTGATAACCTGTTTTTTTTCGAAGTATCTGCAAACAACGTGTTTATTGTGTAATTTTTAAAAAAAAAAAACGCATTCGATTACTAATTAACTTCGTATTTAACTACTAACAGTCTAGGCGTAAAAGCATGTTGTATATCCGCTCATTGGTGTGGCCAAATATAGGAAAGTATGCTTGAATGCCAGTTAGTTTAGACCATGTTTGCTATGTTAGTACATTTTCGGCACCGTAGACGTTAGTAATTAACGAATTAGATGGTCATACCCTGAACAGCATCTGACGTAAAAAATCTGTACTGCTTATGTCACAGACATGTTATTTAGTTATTACTCGAAACAAGTGTCACCTAAAAATTCGACTGAATTAGCATCACTTTCAATAACAAAAATGTGCACCTGCGAATTTCTAATCCTGGCAGCTAGGACGGGTTAACAACGGATTACACGATAAATAGAAAAGCAGTCGTCAGAACGGAGCGAAATAGCACTAAATACTGTTTAGGTTTTGGCGCCGAAAAGAACGATCACAAAGAGCCCCACGCATACAGCTGAGTGGCGGAGACGCACTATCAACCAGCTGATGTTACTCCAGTACCAAGAGCAATATAAAAGAAGCGCACTTTTTACTTTGGCTTACTTTTTTTTAATACTTTTTTTAATAACTTTTTTTTGTTTACTAATTACTAATATTTTGTAAAATTAAACGTCTTTCAAAGTTTGTGGGTTATACAATACTTCGCTGAATTCTAACCTATTTCTACAGTTCGGTTCTATTTTACGCGGGTCAACCACTGCTGCCATTGATTCGTTAGGTACTAACCTTTTCGAAGTCGAGTTACTAAGTGCCGGTTAAGAGCAGATGCAGACCTTAATAGTGCAAGAAGCATGCCGTCATAGAAAACCCGTATGTTTGGACATCTTCTTCGGCCTTCGAGCAAGACTGCGCACTTATACTTCAGTGATTGTCAACTAACAAACTAATATAGCTGGTAATCTGATGCGCGATGAAGAAACACAAAATGGTGTTGCCATGCCTTGCATAAATCGGCGAAGCTTGACATAGACTTAAATAGGCGGATGCTGCCTAAGGCGGCGTTGAAACTATGAGTAAATGCATCATAAAGCCCGATAATTGTTTGTCTCTTGCCAGATTATTCAGTACTGACAAAGTGGACACGACTATTGCTCTTTGAGCTAAATGAAAGAATTCACAATTTTTTATTTCAGATGTGGCATCGATCTGAACTACCAGGTTAAAATCAGCTGTTTGACCACAGGATTTCGAAATTAGACTAGTTTCTGCGCCACTCTCCACAGGAGCTATCTGGCTATATTTCGAATTTCCCTCTATGTTCTATCAGCTGGTGTTAGCGCTTGCGCATATCAAAGAAAGCCAAATTACAAACATGTCTATTACATCTTTTGCAATGCCACCAAATAATTAGTTTTACCGTGGTTTAACATCTGGTTCAGCCAACTTAGTTTGGACATTTTTCTTTGCAGAGAGTTGCGCGCTTGCCCTCGTTGCCACCCCCGAAACACCTATTTATTTTTCACTTAGCAGAAGCAAATCCTTCTTATTTGTCACTGTTAGTGCCTCAAAGGCTAGCATCAGTTACACATCTCAGTAAGCAAATATGTTTGGCAGCTGCAAGATTTAATTAATCAGAACCTTAAAAGTCTATTTGACAGTAAGTTTAATGGAAATTTAGAAAAGTTGCCGCAGCGGCATATATTCCATTGATTTGTCTAAAACAGAAACAGATGTATAGACTCCATATAAATTAATATCTCCATATAAACATTTTGTTCGTTTCAACATTCGTTCAAAAAACGAACGAGTGTCACATAGAAGGTGATTCCATGTTTAGGCTTCGGTTATAGTTCAACGATAATTTCTTTTTAAAATGGTGAACCGAATTATGAAACAAAACAGATGTTTCCAATAAAATCGGCAAATTTACTTGCCGAAACCAAACCGACTGATTGGTGAGGTGCTCGGCTCACCTAAAGATGCTCCCACATCAAAACTCCTTTCTTGTTGTTACATTCTTCGGAAGGATTTGTCGGTTATATTGTTGACTTAAGCCTTCTTTGCGTATGTAAATATCATACTTACCGTTTTTCTTTTGAGTATATGTCTTATTTATGAAAGCAGTGCGATCAGTTCATTTCCGTAGGATCTGGAGTCCGATTCGACAAAGATACATTTTAGTCAGAGAGCACACCGTCGTCACACACTCACAACGTCGATATCCTTTGCGGATATGCTCACGACACTTCATGAAGTTCCCATGCCTTTTCCGTCTATACAAATTTACAAACTTTGGATGAGGATAATGGGTTAAAGCTTTCTTGTAAAAGTAACGTGCAGAAGGAAACTTGTATATGTTATTATTATTGGTAGTAATAAAAACTTGTTATTTTAAGCTCAGAATTAGGTTGCTGGGAACAGTTACGAACGAATAACGGCCTTATTTGCTCATTAATTTAGGTATTCCTAAAATTACACGAAAGAGTAATTTTTCTAAAAGCTTGATCTATTTTTAACAGATTATGTTGTCACCACATAAGCTGTACTTTGTAAGTTGCGGCCTACAGCTAGGATATGGAATATCTTTATTTGTCTATCACTTATTTACATTTCTGTCAGGTTCATATACAAGTTGAATAGAAAATAAGAATAATTTTATAATGTTTAATAATATTATAAATATACAATTGCGAAGTGTAAGTGTGAAGTATCTACTTCGGGAAAAAGCTAGCGTTTATGGCATAATCGATTTGAAAAAATGTTTCAATGACTTCTCACTTTACATAAAAAGGACCGGTAACTTAATCAAAAATAAGTTCGTTTATTTGCATAATACGTTTACTGTACACGTCATTAATATTTGGTTTACTTTAATCGCGTTCCCATACACTCTATCATTCATATTATTCTCATGAACAATCACTTGGTAGAGATGTCTTGCGGAAAACCATCACCATTTTTGTCATCTCTATGCAAAGTGGACGAAGAATCAAGACTTACTCTCGTTGCTTAATTAGCGGCTATTTCCGTTAACAGAAAGTAAGAGATTGTGCTTTATATCCATCGTGATTCTTGTTATCAATTATTACGATTAGTTCGTACTAATATTTTATTTAATGTATATACAACTTTCCGGTATGACAAGTTCATCTTACAACGATGGCGTATTCTGTTCCTGTTAGTAGCTAAATCATTCAGAATGCATCTAAATGCGCACCTAGAATTCCTTCACAGGTAGTAAATATTTCGTTATATGTAATGCTCCAAAAGTTAACGAGCAATTATTGATATGTAGAATGTATGTGCACCTCTCCTCTTAATCTCACTTTATCCTTTGTCTCGTATCTTACAGTGGCACTCAATATTGCCTTGCATTACTTATAGTATATTTATATACAACGAATACTTGCAAATTGGTTTTGCAGAAAACTACAAATAGGAGTACATTGAAATCTATTTAAATTCAAACATCTTAGGCAGTGACAAACAGTGCACGTGAACTGAGCCTAAGCAATACCTCAACAATTCTGCCACGCCACTTGGCTTGAGGAACAGATAGGATTATACACATTGTGCCTACTGATTATTGTAAATAACCAAGATAATATATTATTAGTGGCTTAGTTTCCCCATTTCAACAACTGAGTCTTCTTTTTTAGCATACAACAACTTAACTACCGATAAAGGCAACAGTTGAAAATGAGCTGTAGGAAAGCTCACAATATCTCGAAATTCTTGTTTGGGATCTATCGCCTACCCGAATGTGAACTCGCATATGCGTTACACTGAGTAACCCCGCTACTTTCCATCGAATTTGTCCTGCTTCCGAGCAATTTATTTTAATGAACATGGCTAACATTTTCTAGGCGCACTATCTGAATGACACCGGCAAATAAAAACAACAACATGATGGATATAGTTTGGGAAAGCCAAGACAATGGCGTTCTTTGGTTGAACCAATTTCCCGAAGGTAATTTTCTCCAGGAACTGGAAAAACTGAACGCATCTACAGTTAGACAAATTTATGAAAATTTGTATACTATTTCTGTACAAAGAAGAGGTACACTATACTTTTAGGGTATCCCGCCGCACAGATCTCTCAATGATAAAGCGATTTATATCTTAATAATAATGTTTTAATGTACAAATGTGTTACACTCTAACTATTAGTATTATTAGTGCACAAAGAAACCCTCGCTGCTTGTTAACTAAACGTAATAAATCTTCTAAAGGGTTTGTTTATTCAGTCATTTCAAAAGGCATCCTTTACAAGTTTCTCTTTTGAGTAGAGTTTACTGTGCAGGGCATACCACGTCACCATTGAGAGAAAAATATTTTGCTAAGGTGGCACTATACATAAACACGGCGTTCCCTAAACTAGTTAAATCAGCCCAACAAAGCTTCAGAAGCGCAGTTGCCAAAAGAAAAGCAATAGCCCAAAGAGCTTTCGCAGACGAACCGTTGTGCTCGTGTATCACTGTGCTGTATACGGTGTGTGTGGTACGGGCATCCCAATCCTTGTATTCAGATTTCCCGCTGACTAATCCGTTTAGTCCGCTGCGAATTTCAGTATGGGGCCAACTACGTTGATACTGCGTCGGTGTATTGTAGAATGAGTTTGCTTGCCGGGACGCTGAAGGATACACGGATTCTATAAAACATGTTTGTTAATGTTAGGGAAAATTAATTCCCAGAAATACAAAAAAGAAAACGTTTTTGATGAGTTTAGCGGTTTGTGAATCGATAACTCTAGTATGTCAGTGCAGGATATAGTGAAATAAATAGCAATAATCATAATAGAAGCCGATCGGTATCATAGAAGACATAAGTTACATATTCCAAACAGGTATAACAACCAAGCAGAACCAATACGGCAATACACGTAACGATTTATGTTCAATTACGTGTCTTAGACAGACATATGAGCACACGCAATTCCGACAAGGTCAGTCAAGTCAGGCCCATATTAATATATCAGCACCACTCTCTTTTCTGTCTCTTTCTTTTAGAAAAAACCTGTATAATATATATATATATATATATATATATAAGATCGTTCAAAAAATAAGCCTAACCTTAACTGTTTATATTTAATAGGATGCTTTGTGTATTACTTTTTATAAAATGAGACGAATTAAGACCAAAAGAGAAGTTTGGTAATTCTGTAAAATTACAAAAAAAAAAAATGCTTAACCCGTGAGAAACGCACCCTCACTAGACGTCAATGAGCTGTCTTGGCTTGGCGGCGGTGTTAGATTATTATAGTTTTCCTCAAAGAATTGTGACTGTTTTATGGAGCACTTTTGCCGTTTTCTCTCATTGTTCTGTCGTCTATCGAAGAGATCGCTAAGTCTGCTGGGCCGCAATACACTGGCATTCCTAGGGGGGCCCGACGCATTTTCGAAAGGTGATATATTACAAAGTGACTCTAATCTATTACTACGAGCACCGCTGCTCCGTCTTCCACCAAATAGTCCACTAATGAGGTCTGAATATGCTCTCGGTGTTGACGCTGGCTTGATAGGACCAAATGTGGAAGCAGACATGCCAAATCCTGGCGATGATCGTCTGGCGGACCCCAGACTGAGAGAACTAATGCGTGATCCTAAATCAAAGGGTGCCCAGGAGGTCCAGTCGCGGGTGCGCAGAAAGGTGCGATATGCAGGGGACAAAAGCGGAGCTAAAGCCTTTGACAGGTCGGGTAAAGCAGTAAAGGTCGCTTTTAAAAGAGGCCTGAAATAAAATAATTAACCCAATATCATAAACGGTAAGTGGTGATACAATGACGAGGTGACGCCCAATGCGAAAACATAGATATTTAGAGGTGAAAAAGCATAATAGAGTAACCAAAATCTTAGAGTCAAATTAAACTTTAAATGTTATGCCTTTTAATAAAACTAACCGGCCTTTTGGTGTATGAACCGTTTACCCGTATAACGTTTATAAGGGTTTAAGTTGGCCTAACCTAGGAATGGCTCTGCTTCTTCAATGCTTGCAAGATATGTCAAATTTTTTCAAGCCATTCGTTGACACAATATTACTATAAGAAACAGACAGAAAATGTTCAAACGTAATTTTTCTATTTAAAAAATCTAAAAATACACTTGTTATATGGTACGCTGAAATCGAACTCAAATGGAGTTAATATAATTCATTTCCTTCGTGAAATTCATATACCCACAATATGTGAATTGCCGTGTAAGCCAAAATTTGCGGTCGTTCTCTAGTACGAGTAAAGCGTACTAGGAAAATATCTTTTGCTTGCATAACCAACTTCACAAGAACAAATATCGTATGTACCTTAAGTCTCGTTACCTTTTACGCCCACAAAGTCTTGCAATAAAAGATTCAATAGGCTTCACAAAAGCGACAAGCCCACAAACTATCGAAAAGGCATTCAGGACGGTAAGCGATAATGGATGCACAATCTTGCTGGTTACCACGGGCAACAGTGTTGAACCATTCATCGTTAACTGAACGGCAACCGAAACGCTCCTTAAAATTATCGTCCACAACAGAGCTCTGCAAAAGATGACCATATTAAATCAATATCACCTTAATCTATTGAACGTTACAAAAATATAGGCTTTATTTACAAAACACAATTTGATAGAGCTAACATTGCATGATCCTATTATTATTGCTATAATTAGCACATATTTTTTTACGAAATAAAAATTACGTTCATGACAAACCTGTTGTGGACAACCCCGGACAATATCAGTACTAGGGCAGCCGAAAAGGGTACGAGCCTAGTCCAGCCTTCGTCAAATAAAGGCGCAAATGAAATTGCTGATATAGCGCACACGATTAACTCTGTCAACTCCGAGTTAATGAACCGCTCAAGACGCCTATACCAACGAGATGCTTCGAGCGACATTACATGGGGCAACAGCTTTGCGTCCTACGAATCCATGATGTGAGTCGTAAAAAAAATCGGGAATATATGATTTGTCAAAGCGCTAACATTACATATGAACTAGAAGAACAGATGAAAAAGAGCATGTACAATACATGTATAGCTGCAAGAAATCTATAACTGAAATTGCCCTTATTGATTTATCTTTAAAGTAACCGATGCCACAAAGGAGTGCGTCTAAGAGGACGCCGGAACAACCGATATCGTCACAGTAAAATGAATACGCCGCGTAATTAATGCTTAATATGGTAATTAAGGTAAAGAAAAGCTGTAGTGTCGACAACAAACCTGATAAGCAAGCCTGGTTCGAACATGGTTTTTACAAGCCGTACAGAGCGGATGGATGGTCTCCAAACGGCGACAGTATTCTTTGAATTCTGTCTCCTCATTGACTGAATCTGAAATGACGAAAAAAAAGGAAAACATTTTAAAAAATCAATAATAAGCGGCGCACCTATATATATTCCAATGAATATTATAAACACAAGTAGCACATTATTAATATAAATTATGACACAATTTGTTTTACTTTGTAATGGCAATGAATCAAAGCAATAGTTTACCTTTAGGCTCGAATTGATTACGGCATTTCACTTTAATGGCCTGCCGATGGTTGCACAACTCACAAAGCCCATTATGATACATCTTAAGGGTTTTTCCAGACGGGGTGGCCCCTACTGAAAAAACATTCATCCTGGGATCCCTCTGCGCAGGAATATCCTTATTGTAGTCACCGAGAGCAGAAAAACCATTGTACTGTTCGCAATGCAAACAATCAAAATGGTTTCGGTTGGCCAGAGGAAGCCGGTTTAGGCCACCACAGAACCAGCATCGTACCCGCACGGGAAGAACTGGCCTGTTGGAATCAGCACAAGCGAAACGTGATTCATTAGCAAATTCAAAGGATCAAAAGAAAATCAAAAGTCTCGCTCTTCCAGTGGGCGGTCCATATAAACATTTCAATAATAAATTTGTTAGAATATATGCCACCCGCTATATTATATACGTGGGAAATTACATATTAAGTAAGGTATATAGACGCACCCTATGAAAAATACATGAGGATTAAATATTTCTACAAAATAAATTAGTCTTATTTTAAAGAAGGAATCCAAATGAGGAAGTGTGCTACTGTTTCATTTGTAGCTGCGAAGGTTACGAAAAAAGTTGTGAAGCGAATACATTAGCCTAGGTTTGTCTTACTCTTTCTTACAAAGTACTAGCTAGATTCAAGAGATTAATATAGATGTTTTCGACAATTAATCAGGTACCCAAAGCTATGCACAGATTTGTTTACAGTAGGCGTGAATTATCGAAAAAACGTTTCGATGTATGGTGATAGGTTGTCTGATGTATCGACAGTTCGTCCTAACAGCTTTCTCTTGTTTAAAGTGCTCTGCTATGCGGCACGCAGCCAGCGGTCCTAACCATCGCATCTAAATTGCTGCAGAACTTCTATTCTTTAGTCAGCGGTTTGCTGCCATTTTCGACACTTATCGTTCGATAATATCGGCTCAGATGTGAAACATCTAAATTCATATTCATTCACATTTGAGTAGATTCTTCAATTTTCTTGTATTAAGTCGACTTGCATCATAAAGGTTCTGTTATTGTCAATGTCGCCCAAGGCCATTGTTAAGGAGTCATTGTGTTTAATACATTAAAGAATTGTATTTTACGTTAGGTTTTCTGTTCTCCGAAAGTGCTCCACTGCGTTTAATTATTCAAAATGTATTGTTGGGCGAAACAGAGTATTCTACTACCACAAAAGTCCACCTCTCCTCGTCGCTTTGGTTTGATGCGACCACTTTTTTGGTGGTAATAGTTTTTATTACTGCGCGTTCGTATGCTAGGTTGGGCATCGGGCTATAGCATCTTTTTCATTTCAAGTCTAGTATATTGTCACAGAACTGGCATGTAACTACTGCCTGTGTGCCTTTTTAAGTGCACATCCCCTTCATTTTAGATAGGTAGGCGTTACGGTTATAGTTGATTTCCCTTCCGGTAATGTCGTCGTTTGGGGTGGTAGAGTCCTTTCCGCTTCTGACTCTTCCCTTGAAGACACCATTATTGAACTTTCTGTCAGCTAAAGTCTATGCCCCACTTGCACTTTAATATTCAATAAGACTTTGATATCCCGGCAGGAACGTGCGTTCAAGATCAGGTCATCTACGTACAATTCTCGTGTTATCCTAAATTTTTTTAAGAATGTAAAATCTTTTCTGTGACCTGATCAGTTCTTAAATTTCTAATTCGTTTTTCTCAAAACTCAAACCAGCTCAGTAATATCGAGGAGTCCTGTGTTAAGCCTTTAGTGATCTCGAGTTTTCCCACTTTCAGATGATCCGGCGGGCTTCCTCATAAAGCAATTTAACGATCACTATTGGTGAGCAGTTCACACCGCATAGGTACTCTAGTACTCATCCACAGCCCACGCTGTCATGTCTTCTGCTGACATAAAGTAACGCATAATGTCTAGCTATCTCACACGTCTATGTCAGTGTAAATTCATATTTTTTTTCTTACGTCTTGTACCTAATCTTTCTTAATCCCTTTGCACTACTCGTTCAATTCCTTATCAGCACCCCAAATCCTAGGACTTGTAGAGTGATACATTTATTACTACTGTAAACATCTTCTAATTTGTCCTCGGCATTTGAGCCGATACTATTTATAATAGTATTTTACTACTTTATAATAACCATGTTTTAAAAAATTCAGTTTTAACAAGTTTTATGACTATAATGAAGTTTATATATGAAACGCTTATATAGATAAAAAAATATATGCTTCTATATATATATATATGTATATTTTTGTGGAAATAGTGTTGCGCGAACTAATGTGTTCCATTTGTGTTAAATTGAAAACTCGTGTTCAAATGATATTGTGGGAAGGGCTATAAGGCTATAGCTACTAGAAAATAGCTGGCCATTATTCGGCACTACCTATATTACGAATACAATAAAGCTTTTATCTGCGCGTAAGTAAGCGAAGCAGGCGCGGGGCGAAGCACGCGAGTGGCGGTCGAGTTTTATTTCAAAACTTACCAAAGGAACTTGCAGATAACGATAACCAAAACGGCGCTTGCCGTAAGCGCGGAGACAACAATGGTCATGTGATCCGGCTTAAGCACATCCTGACTCCAATCGGTTGCGGCTGTGGTCCGGTGCCACGAATTGGTCAAATGCAACCACCAACCTTTTAACACTTCTAGAGACATCGTAGTTCACAGAATTTTGCAGGTCAACTCACACGACAGGAGATGACCCTGCAGAAAATTGGCGCATTTACTATCGGAGTCACCGCCCTCAAAACCCGCGTGCTGAGGTCCTGGTATTGGTGCGGGCGCGGATTGTTGTGTTTTTAGCGCAGAGCTCCTGACCCAGCCGGCGAACATTTCTCATGAATGAGCGCATCAACGCCGGTACATTCTGTTAGGTAGTTTGGCGGGCGGTTCGTGCTGTTAACGACGCCATGAATGTTGCAAAAAAAATCAATATCTGTGTACTATACAACTCAAAAGGCATGTCTCATCTTTTATTTGTTTGTCGAACCGAAAGCGACCTCTTGAAGAGGTTGTACTGGGCTGATTTTTTCTAAATTAATAGAGATTCATCATAAGAGGCTCTGTACAAATAGAGCTGACCGGCCACATACTGATCTCCCTAAAGGGAACAATTTGCTATTCTCCCATAGAGTTTAATGCTCATTTGGTTTGTCGTAAGCCAACGCCAGTAACTTCATTTTCATTTTCCATCTTTGATAACAACACCATATCAGCATCGTCCATGCTGGTATAACATCAGATGCAGAAAACAGGCGCGGGACACCGACTGGTCGCACTCTATTATCAATTAACGATATCCAAAAGTATAGTAAGACTAGTGAGGCACTTTAGGCCCACCATCACAAAATTAAGGTGACTTTTTGCATAAACTGAAGTAAGCGCTAGCTTTAAATTCATTTTTGGTTGGACCGTTGGCATAAAAATTTTAGATGCCTTGCAGTTTTTAAGAAATTTCTTCAAGTGGGATTTCAATGGTTATAAAAAATTTAACTGTAAAAATAATATTTCCAAAGATTCATATACCTGCATTACTAAACTAAACGTGGTGTAGTTGCCTTTTTACGCAACTCTATTCTTATTATTATTGTATTGGTTATTGTATTACCTCTGCTAAGTATCTAACGCTGGAAAAGAGCAGGCTAATTCGTCAAATTGACATCTCAATTAGCGTCAAAACCTTTGACTACCTCTTTAAAGAAGTGCAGACATACACGTCTAAGATGCTTAAGTGAAGACCCTTTCAGCCTCAGCAAACCTCCTCTACATTTACTTAACTACAGCATATAGCGTGCAAATGTCCGTATATTTAAAAAATAAAATGCCTAAATTCATGTTCTGTATTGCCGCCCATTGTACGCTAAACGTTACACGCAAACATCACTGTTCATGTACTGTACGATCTGCTCAGGGTTTTCGGTTGTCTGAATTTTGTTTAGCTGTGAGTCGCTCTTCCCAGATCTAGGCCAAGGCCGTAGCGTTACCTTTTTTTTGGGTTTTGTACCTTTAGCATTTTTTCAAATATTTCTTTGTTAGACAAAATTTGTTGCCATATTCATCATTCTTAAGCCAGATCGATTTGCAGATGAGTAACTAAACTGGTCTAATTTTGAACTTCCTTGTCTTACGGCGTTATAACTTCCTGGATGATTTTATTAAATCTTTTTTTAGTGAAGCTTCTCGATAACCCCTAAAGTTCTTTTCAGCCTTACTGTTGACCGTTTTAAATATCGAGATATATGTCTTTGATCACACATGCCGACAATGTGGGGACAGCCATCAATCAATTTTAATTACACATTTATGAATCCAAGTTTTCAGCCGAAATGATACTATTCTTGTCAATCAACAGTACTTTATTAACTATCTGTATAAACCTGATACCTATTGGACGGGCTTGACGATCTTTTTTCATGAAATCGTACTACTTTAGACAAAGATATATCCCAATATCTTACAGCTTACAGCTGTCAATCAACAACCATGCAGCTACTCGCAAACTGCGGTAATATAAACAATTTTTTTAATGTTATTTATGTAATCGTGTTTGAATGGTTATAACAATGAAAGTCAGCCTTGTATTCGTAGGCGGCGGTGAAGATGTACTTTTTAGAAATATGTTTAGAAATAAAGGCGTTGTTATACTGTGGGCGTTCAACATTTAACACACCAATCATACGTGTACAAACAGTTCCTCAGACTATCATATTGGTAAAGAATAAAACTCTTAATTATCTTTACCTGTATATGATGAGGATACTGAGAGAAGATAATGCAGCCAGTACATGAAATTTTAAAAAACATGATTGCTTTGAGATAACTCTATCATTTAATTATATCACAGGCAGACTTTCTGTTACAAATACATATGTGAGTTACGTTACACCAGATACTGGTAGAGATTCTAAATATGGATAACTTTTTTATTCACGCAGGTTGTGTATTATGCGCCGCATAACGAGTCATAAAGCGCAATTTTTTCCGTCCAATCTCTTAAAACCAACTCATTGATTTGGAACAAAATCATGCAGTTTCTTATATGATGTTTTCTATTCAAACTAGCTTAGAGGCAAAGACAACAACGCGTGTAAAACTATTCGTTTGGTACGAGCGAGGCAAAAGTCAGCCGGGGAAAGAACGCCCTTTCATAAATCTACTCCATTAAACTTTGTTGCGAATACAGTCCTTCATCCGGTTGTTAATTGATTAAATAATAAGATTCGCGTTCGCCAACATAATGTCTGTAACGCGCGTTTAACATCGCACTGTGCAGCAAATGACCTACAAGACAGGCGAAATTTTATAGAACGTGTCACACAATGCCAAACATGTAACGTCCATTTGCTTGTAAGAGCTGCTATACTTACTAGTTTGTTCATGAACTGCAATTTTCAACATGAACTAAAATCAACAACGCTTTAGATATCTGCGACGAAGCTGATGTATGAACAGATCCACCTTTATTTAATAACAGCAAAATCGAAAAATTTGGTTTTACTTAAAGTACTGCGACCGGAACAATGTGTGTCCCACAATCAAGCGTGGTATCTCCGTCTAGGGCGCTAGCTTTATTCATATTACACTTTAGAGGCATCTGACCCACTTTTACGTTACTTAAAATCATATGCTGCGCTCGAAAGTAACAAGCGTGGTGGATTATGTTGCCTCTTGAAGCCCGTAAAATAATGCAACGTGGGCGTCGTATTACGACGTACGTGTCAACTGTGGGCAACGTATTTCTGTGTTGTTCGAGAATACGATTTAAGTTTTGAAAGCGTTGCCTTTTCCAAACGATACGATATTTACGCCGCTACATCGCTTGAGCTTAGCATTAACAATAAATTGATTATTTCATCCGATTACATTGTTTTAGTTTCTGTGGACAGACAGCAAAAAAGCTGTGGAAGGTGCGGTATCATACCGGGCCTACAAGATGAACATATACTTTTGTCGAATTTATTACAAAACACAGTCATTAAAATTTCAAATTACGTTAAGTGGAAAGCGTAGTTCAGTTTCGACTATACAAGTCTTCGGTTTGAACACAGCAGGAAGCTGCATCAGTTAAAAGGGCGCCTTGATGGCGGTTTTGAAACTCAAGTTTTAGAAACTATGGAGAGCTTTTAGTTTGCAATGAACGCAGATATTGCACGAAATGATTACTTCTTCCTCTGAGTAATCTGGCTAAGCGGTTGAGTTAGATTCCCTATGTAGGGTAGACGCATCCACATGATTTCAATGGACTTGATTATATTGGTATATATTGCCGAAACTGTGCTATCTAACGCGTCACTACCACTTGACAAACTTGATATTACGTCATTGATTACTTACCAGTTTGTCCTAATAACGACAGAGATTTTGCTTATCATCACACAGTCGGTAGTCAGCTACCTGTTTTTGGCTCAACTTGACAATAAAGCTACATCAGGCTATTAACGGACCGTACTCTTTCAGTATAACGATCTCTTGTAAAACGTTCCTGTCGGCAAAAGTTACTTAGCGATCCCTATGAAGTTCGAGTACCCTGAGATGTAGATTGGTATCTCGTCTTGGTACATGCGGCTGACCCATTTTAAAATTTGGTCATTGAGGCTTAGCTTAGAACAAAACATATATCACGCGACAGCTTATCTACCACAAATATCAATGTATCGAAGTATATGATGATGGCTTCTTAATACTACATGCTCAGAAGAGATCGTGGGTATATTGAATGTTTGAACTTCTAAACCAGTCAAATGAAATATACAGCGAATCGCTTGAACGTTTTGCTCGTTCTGTACTAAAAAGTTTTAACATGTTATTTTAGACTACCGTGCTTATAAGGGCTGTTTATACAATAACCAAATTAACGGGTGTTTGAGACACAATTTATTGAGTGATCCAACATACAAGTTAACATTGCACATCTTGGTAGTATCAGTACACACATCCGTCCGCCTCGTCAGCATATCATTTTTAACAAAATGTCCTCATAACCCGTTCGTTTATTATAGCTATATCTACGAGACCTTTGTCAATCGATTGCGTCGTTTCGTTTTGTGCAGTACTAATAAAAAAATTCTAGAATATGCTTTTATATGCTGCATTTTATGAATAAAGCAACGTATTATTTGGGATTGAAGAACCGATATTAAAAGACAAACATCTATTCGATTATAGAATAGCCTTTTTTTTAACTGCAAGAAAGGTAAATGGCGGACAGTGCAACACACTCCACATGCTTATAATTGTATGTATGCCACTGTGCTTTGAAAAATACATTTTTTATACGAATTTACTTGTGTTCAGAAAAATACAATTCTTTTACATGAAAGTATGAACTAAAAAATTATTAATTTTAATATCAATGTGCCAGATCGGAGAGACTGGGCATCTATGGCTCCGCAGCACATGACGCTACTTGGTACCGGAGGAGTATTGCTTTACACCTTGTGCAGATACACGTAGCTCTGACAAATGACCAGGGCCATATCCTGCAAAACGTAGAACTAAGTGCTGGCTTGTTCTATTTTACCCTTTCCAATTCCGCATAATAAAAATGAAGATCTATTTCCACCATCCTCTTCCATGTACTGATGAACTCTGAATAGGCAGAGATAATGGAAAGCTTGAATCTTTAACTCATATCCTCCACAAATAGCAATGTGTCGTTCAAAAAAGACACGTATCTGCTCCACGATGAATTATGAAAGCCCGTTGCGTTTTAAGAACAAAACTGTGATATGGTCAAGTCTTTCGAGCTGCTTCGATGACAGGTTATCCCATACAATTTGGAATTTGTACCAAGTTATCCAAGCTACCTGTATTTCAAACAGCGACAGCGCCGTGCACGAAGAGTGTTTCGTAATGCTATACATGTAACGATTGCCCGCCACAATTTGTCTGAGATGTGCTATTCGAAAGCTTGGCCGCTCATGGGTAAAATTACCTCCAGGTACTTCAGGTTGTTCACACACTTTAAGGTCGTTCTGATTATGGAAGGCGTATTGGAAGAAGCCTTTATGGCAAAACTACGTGGTCTCTGTCTTGTTCGAGCTAACTAACAGTATTAACGACCCTGTTTAATGAGCATAATATCATTGGCATGCAACGACATTTTTTCCTATCCCGCTAGATTTTCAACAGGGGATAGCAGGTGATTCACTATTAGAGAAAACGGCAGATGGTTTAGGACATCACTCTGTGAAACGCCAGTTGCTTCGACGAAGGGCTCCAATGTGCCATTCTGTCATCTATGTTTATTAAGTTTTCCTGTATTGTGCCCCTGATTGAATGCAGCATGTTCTGTAGGACCCCCATGAGCCTTATTAAAATTTTGTCCCTGGAGCTACATCAGACGCCGAATTTGAATATACGAACACGCCGAAAAGCGCCTGTCTTGGTATGCGACAAACACAGTGTACTTTCCGAAGCAGCAGGTGACATGGCATCAAGTTCTAGTTTCCTGTGCGAAATCCGTATTGTTCAAATGGAGCCCATTCAGTTCCTAGCATTTTTATTAGCTGAAGTGTAATGAACAGAGCCAGAAGCTTGTGGCAGCTATTCGCTATTGTCCTCTGAAGAAGGGTCGGAATGTGTAACCTTCTCTGTTGAATATGATGTTTAGGAGGACCTCATCATCCAGCTTCCAGCTCGCCAGTAAGCGTCCATGTTGTAGCAAAACATTGAACGGACTTGCCTAGCAAGGAGACGTGTCTTATACATTTTTCAAGTGTTCATTGCGAATTAGATCCGATCCTGACTGGAGTTGTTTCAGGAAGCACAGTACCTTGAGCATGGACAACTGAGCCCTAACTTCTCGTGCGTCATAGATGTTTGTTCATTCCATGCGCCTACGTGCTAATGCATGATTCGTAAAACTGTGTTTGCCGCCGCAAACATAATTATCGGACACTCCAGCCCTGTATTAGCCCTGCGGAATTTATAGAGCATAGCGGTGATTTCTTTCTTCGCACTTATTTGTGTATCTCTCTTTCCGTTTGTATCGCCGGTTTGATTTGCATGACAATACAGGAAAATACGCTTTTGTCGACTGGACAAAATGGTTAAATACGTAAGTTAAAAGTGACATGCATATGTAATTTTCAAAAGCAACGCTAATACAAAACAGTTTCTGTGGCCGTGATATTGTCTCTTGTTTCACCGACAAAACATTTTGAAGCACATCTGAAGTCTGTTATCGACTTGTACAATAATAATTTTCTGATTTACATATACCACAACTGTAGGAAATAAATTACAAGATCACTTTGGCATTATATCTAATAAAAGGTATATATGCTTAAAAAGTTACCAAAATAGATATGACGATTCATTTATTTACATTCATATATTCAATGATGGATTTTCTATGGACGTTAAACGCACGCCCTCGGACTCGAGGTAAGAATCAAGGTCACATAAAGGGCATGTGTTAGTCTGTGACAATAGTAAGTTTCTAAGTAGAAACTAAAACCTAATCAGCAATTTTTATTGCTGATTAAGTTTTAGTTTCTATCACTTACAATCGAATAAAGTGCTGGGAATACAGCGGTTCTTGCGTTTGCTGATTATGGGCTTGGCTTAGTAATTAAAAAGTTCAATAATTACACAGGAAAAATATTTGAGCTTTCACTGCAATACATAGTGAATTTCAATCAGTCAATAAAATGTCGATCATACAGTGATGTTCAAGTACTCCCTAGGAATCTCACACTGTTGATTAACTCACATGACTGATAATTATACATTATTTTTAAGAGAATATGCTGCATTTAGACCAGTTATATTGCCATGAGTACCAGTAATAGAAGTTAAAGGAAGAATTAAATATGATATAGGTAATCATTTACTTTGATGCACAGTACTTACCTGTAAAAGTAAGTAACTAACTGTCAAAGGAAATTACATCAATGTAATACGAACTTTATCTCATGTAGTATAAAAGGCAATATGGTAAAGTAAACAATAAATGTCATATTTTCTTCTAACGGCTCACTTCATGTTATGGCTTTTACTCAGAGAAGTCCGATTTGTATTTTTTTGTTCTGTAACTTGCCTATAATGTGATATTCTCAATCAGTTACTTGTGCCTGATAGATAATTTATCGATAGAAGTCTATATTATATATCCGTAATATATACAACTACTCTGAATCTAATTTGTTTTTAATATATTTAAAAATTAAAATTTTTGTCCGTAATAGTTATTTAATTCATGTCGCCGATTTATGGTAAAACTGAATTAAAGCATGCAATACTATTCTGCTGACCTGAGATCGGTCCCTTACACGTTTACTGCCGAGTGATCCAATTTCGCTTCTGTCATATGGTATGCATGTCTCATTATCTATAGAACACAACGCTACTCGCAGTCGACAAGAAGCAAACGTGCACTACGATAGACAACACAATTGAATGGACAACACAATTGGTTGATACGCGACAAAAAGGGTCGAAATAGAATCTGGCTGTATTTAACAAAAACAAACTTATGGATGTCGTTAGTTCTTTGGTTGAGGTGATCAACAGTGTCCACACGTTGGTTAATCTTGGGTCTGTGACCACTCAGGCAGCTGTTTTCTACGATACGTTAAGCTACGAGAACTAAAATGAAGTTCCATTGTACAAAACATAGCTTGTTCTTAAAGAAATTTTTGTCACATCTGCCATTAGGGAGCGAATTATTTTTGGACAAGAAGCCTCTGATCTCGTTTTTTGCAGTCCGCGGTAAGCATTAAGCTCTTATGTAGGATCCACTAAAGAGACCTATAAACTAATGATTGTATTTTAGTATTCTGCAACACAACAAACATTAACCAAGGTCTACATATAAACTGCGTTATTAAGCAAGTTTTCATGGTCCTGCAAACTGCTTTGCTTTTGCGGATGGCTTTCACCTTGTTATAGATACAAAAAGGGTTCTATCTTTAAACTTTCAAGCATGTGTCATCGCTTTGTCTGAATAACGAAACATGACTTTGGGTTTGGCGATTCAAATGTCAAAATCGACGATTTCCACATTTAAAAAAAAATTAAATATTATGGGAAGTTAATTTCTATATTTAAGAAATTTAGAAATGAATTACTTAAAATCGATTTCTGAAAAACTATTGAGAACAAGGGAAATTAAAAGGGTAGAAACCATAAAAATTATCAGAACATACGAGAAGACAAAATTTGATAATATTTTTTTCGCATTAAAAAAACATGAAAAAAACGGTAAACATAAGTTATAGAAGGTCTGTTCGTTATCTTTTCGTTATTTTTTCGGTTTATGTTGTTTTAGTTCATTTTCTAAAAAATCGTATTAGATCTTTTTTTATCAAGCTTTATACCTCCAATTCGGTTATTTATGTACTTACAAATTGGGAGAGACATATTTGCTAGTGCTGACAGCCAGCTGCTTAACGATAATATTGGACATAAAACTGGGAATGATTTAGAACTCCTGGGGATAGAGGAAGAAATACATACAGTTGCGAGGATTTCATTAGCCAGTTTATATGACACATGTACTAAAGTCGATATGATCAGCTGGATATCATAGGAGTCATTAGGTATTATTGACTGGTAGCATAAGTAATCCGTAACTTGTAGGTAATAGTGTCTCCCTTCACGCTGAATCCGTCGAGTTTACTTCAAGGACCTCAGACACCAAGGTAGACGGTTTGTCGGTGCGTTAGTTTAGAACGGAAGAGGTCATCCTGCAAGCCGTTGATACAAGGTATTTCAAGTGGATATTATTATTATTATTTCAATGAATCATTACGACCACGTGTATGTTAAGATAGCTTAATAACCTGATTGGTGGTTGACTTTTAGGGGTCAAATTACCAACTTTTGCACAAATTTTTTTTAAAGTTAGAAGATATGAATAGTCGTCTGGTACTATAAGCTTAAAGTTCAATCAAAACCGACACTAAACCATCATAGTCCAGTTTTGTTCTATTTTTTTTGTTTTGTTAAAATCCGCTTTCTCTTAATTAATTGACTATATCATAATTAAATTCCAATGGTCAACTTCGGCAAGCACATGCGTTGATCACTGCCTAACCTTATTTGTCCATGAACCACACTTTTGTTTGTTGGTTTTTTAAACGCCTGAAAGTGTTTGTATTAGACTATTATTGCTACTCACAACCAATTAATGGTGAGAATGTTATAAATTAAAACTATAGCACAATTTCGCCCAACAATAATAATGCGTAATCTACCCATTTTTATATCACTGAAGTAATTGCCTTTACACTTGTTATAGGGTACTAGGGTTCTTTCCTGGATGTTTTTTAAGTGTGCACCTTCTTTTTTTGTACGACTTTGTGGTAAGGACAATGCTAGCAGCCCGAGTACAGGTTTAATTTGTAGGTTCATAGCTACTAATTTTGAGAGGTCGACCCGCCGACAACACAATCATTGCCTGCGCAAGCTTTATAGGAAACTGCACATTCTATTGACAGCAATCATTGCTGGCCGCCTGTACTGAAGCTATTCGCGCCTGAAAATCAAAGCAGCCGCGTAGGAGAGCTAGATTTCAGCTACTGCCCGGACAAAACGACAACAAAACAATGAAAGGAGATCGTTTCGTTACAAGGCGGAGAGAACAGGGGCGCCTAAGTTTGGTTGCCGACGACAGTATTGTTGCCCGATGATGATGGTAGCTCTTGATTACGGCTAGTGAATATCTCCGACAAAAGTTGACCAGCTATACAAAGTGGTTGTCCAGAACCAGAGCATTATGGAAATACTACGAAAACGGCATGTTAGATTTTTCAACCGTTGGTTAACTGCTCTACCAACTTCAGCCGCCAGCTATATGGACAAGCAACCCCTAATAGCATTCTTTTCTATTTGCGGTAAGCCACTGGACGTGCGTGACAAAGTTCGTCGAAGATTACCCTCTCAATACTACACTATCAGCTGGTAGTAGTATCGAAGGCTATTCGTGTGTGGAAAACCAGAAAGCAGCCTAAAAGTGGCCATTACAAGACATGACATGACCTAAAGACACTTAACTACGAAAATTTTTCTTCTGAATTATGCCACTCCATTTTATCCACTTCGTAATATAAATATGCGTAACATAAATACGTGTGTTTCAATTTCTTAAATTATAATAGATTCTAAGAATGCATAAAGTATGCAGTGTTAGTTTATTGATTAATATATTTTACAACAGAAATGCTACAGTTATCGAAGAGACTAATAGCATTATGTACTGGATTGAATATCACTAGCTTAAGTTAAGAAAATTACTGCGCAAATGACACTTTGTTACAAGATCGCTGACTACGCGCTCATATTATGCATTTGACAAAACTAACATCCATGATAAGCAATAAATAAAGTTATAAGGTTAAATTTGTATAAAAGCCCGAAAAAGATAACGTTAGTTACAAAACTTGTTTCCTGGATTACTGCTACTCCACATGATCTGTATCCGTCACAACAGCTTTAAATGCTGACGGCTATCTCTTGATGATTGTTTTCGGCTGCAGTTATGATAGAACTGAAATTACCTAACGACACCTGTACTGTAATCCATTTCATGTTTTCATTGTAATTGTTTCTATTATACAATCTAATATACTTGTTGTATCAATCTGCAGTAGCATCCCATTTTTTCATATTTTACCTTACTTTAGACATCTAAAGAAACAGCTGAAAACCATCTAAAAGATTCTGAAACTTATCAGCTCCCTCCATGTGAAAGCATTTAATAAGCTAACATCTGTCGACGAATAGAAACTTGGTAATAATATAAAACTGTATTTGGAGACTGGCCTCTGACCGAAATAGCTCATGACGGGTTATGTGGAATCTAGAGGATGAAATTATGAAATATCAGTTTTCGTACTGCTCCGTAAAAACAGGGTCTAGTAACGAATCAAGGCGAATACAAGATACTTATAAGTATTCGTGTAATGTCTTTGCAGGGCTCGACCTACTAGACGATCTTCCCGAAGATCGGTCGACCCTTATCAACTGGCTCTACTCCATGCAATATGTCGACGAGGAGGAATCAATAGGAGGGTTTCTCGGCGGATTTATTATCGGACGTGACGCAAACGAGGTTTATTTGAAATTCATTCATTTTACTCATTAAGCAGCTATTGTACCGAATTAAATGGGGAACTTGTTTACAGGATTTAGTTTATCTCTTTGAAAATGCTACTGCTGCTTCAAAAAACAAAAGAAACCGCATCGAAAATACGGCACTAAGGAAAGCATAAAATAATTTCAAGTATTTTCAAATTATGTGTTGAATTGCAGATAAGACGAGTATTTTTAACAATCAATTTTTGGAGACTAAAATTCCTGAAAAATCACAATTAATATCAGTGCACTCTCGTTATGTTTCTCTTGCAGCAACAATGCTGGTTGGACATTCCATCGTTAGGCTTAACCTATACAGCACTAGCATCATTGGTGACTTTGGGAGATGATTTGTCAAGGGTGAAACGGGCTGAAATTCTGAAGGGTCTCAATAAGCTGCAGTTAGAAGATGGGAGCTTCGCTTCGCAATGGTTGGATGGCGAGATTGATATGAGGTAAGTCTTACTTCATTTGGTGATGCTCGCGACTCACACAACAATTATTCTACTTTACTATTATACTGTATAATACAATGCTTAATGGTTTAATACTGACTTCTGTTCAGCGTCCTCTACTCGTTTATGGCTTAATACTGATCTTTTATGAGGTGGTAAGGACTACTTGCAACATACGTTAAAAAGCAGGATAATTCTAGCGAGCATATATCAGCGACTATGACGTACATTATAACCTACCGTATTATCACCAGTTCAAGTTGTAGCTGTAGATATAATACTTGACTTCAATTCTGTTTTTTGTTTCTTAAAAGAAGGATGCATTCTGTATAAAATAACAAACTATACTGGAAACGGCTTTGATTTTCCTTCGCTTAAGGATCTTTGCAACTGATTACTGATTTTCCTTTTCTTAAACGTTTTTTAGAAGTGTCTTCTATTCGAAAAGGAGATGCAACTTTATGTTCTGTTATATAAAGCCCGTTGCATCAATCTATAGACACTGGTGTCTGAATATCTCGTTTATACTTGTTGTATGTTTGAAAATTTCTAAATATCTGGATATTCTATTATTGGGAATACGAAAACGTGTTTTTTCCAAAATGTTTATTTATATATAAAAAAAAAACGCTAAAGTTATGAAAGTAAACTGTTAATGGGCTTAGCGATTGAAAGCGTGAGCTCGTTGAGTGAACGTCTTCCCTATATTACATTCTACGTATTATACTCAGTACTGAAGCAGCAGTGAAGATATGCAGTACTTTATGTAGAATGAAGTTTATCTTCACAATCAGATATAAGTAATAAGATATTTTACCTAGTGGCGGAGATTCAGGATTCACAAATTATTAAAAAACGAAGTTTTTTTCACAGGTTTGTTTACTGTGCAGTGTGCGTCGCATATATGCTGAACGATTTTTCAACGATCAACATAGATGCTTGTGTCCACTTTATCCTAGACTGTTTCACCTATGAAGGTGGGGTAGCATGTGTACCTGGGTGTGAAGCGCACGGTGGTTCCACGTATTGCGCGATTGCCTCTTTAGCTCTTCTAGACCGATTGGATGCTATTGGAGATAGACAGAACCAACTTGTGCAATGGTGCCTGTTCAGGTAGGCAAAATATATACTTATGTGTTTAACTGAGCGCTGTGTGAACCGTTTTATGGAGCGATTGCAGTTAATCGCGCTTCCCCTCTACGATAACGAAACAGGATAATTAATTAATTATCCTGTTTCATTATCGTTATTATTGTTAAATATTATTATTAATTAAACAGGAAAATTAAATGAAAAAAACTTGATAGGAATGTAGAGATGGTTGCTCTCGTTACAGGCAAGATAAAAAAGGCTTCAATGGGCGGCCAAATAAAGTCGAGGATACATGCTATTCATTCTGGATTGGAGGTAAATATTTGAGACAGTGGTTGAAAAATAACATAAAGCCAATCCTGCTCAGCGTAACAAAATTTCGAGCGTCGGATTGTTGTCCAACCGCTATGAACGGTGTTACAAATGTGAGCTGTTGCATATTTGTTAGTTGTTAGTCTAAGCCTATTAAGCTTGCAATTTCATAGTTGAAAATCTAACTGTATTACTGTGATATAACTGGAGTCTTTTCTCTTTATAGGGACACTACGCATCTTGAAAGCTTTCCAGCATTCATCTGCCACACTGAATCGCGACTTCCTGCTCAGCGCGCAGAACCCCATTACGGGTGGATTAGGAAAATACGATGCTAGCGCTCCAGACCCTCACCACACTTACCTTGGTCTGGCTGGGCTGAGTTTTATTGAAAAGGATACACTCCGTGAAGTTCATGTTCCACTCAACATCTCAGCGAGGGCCCACGACGCTCTCAAAAGCATACATGCCACCTGGTAAAGCCACTTTATTGATCGCCAAAGCCATACAGAATGTCAGCAGGTGCTACTTGACTGAACAGCCAGCCGACATAAAAATCTTTAAAGAGGTTGTAACCCTTTTTGGGAAAGATATTTAATTAATAGTGTATTTAATATCTCTATGTGATTGCGAGGATACTAGGAAGAGAAGAGCGCATTGGCCCGTCTTAGTATTTGGCACTTATTTCAGATAACCCTATATATAATATGTTCCCGTAGAAGGAATATGGGTCGCAATTAGATATATAAAGAACTATATACGTTATACTTTATTAGTTGTTATATATAAAACTCACGGCTACAACGGCAAAAGATGAGAATTTATAATATACAGTAGATGACAAACATTCGAGATATTAAAGTAACATCGAATGAACGCAGTGCGTGTTTCTGAATAACCAAGTCACTAAGAAAAATTGGTTTAGATAAGTGATTTACGTACGCTGGAGGAACAAATTTAAAGTGTAAAGTAAATTATAGTAGTTTTGTGTCAAGATCATTCTGCTTGTACCCCCTGCTAATGTAGTTAAGTTTTCCGCACGTTAAAAACAACGGAAGGGACGATAAGCAACAAGAAATACAATTTACTAATCTTTAGAATGAGTTCTCTACGAATCCAATAAAATATCTGAACATATCTGAACATGAAGAATACTGAGCATAACAATGTATTATATAATATCTGTGTTGTACACAACTTCTTAAAACGTAAGTGAATGGTACCTGTAGTTCTGTGAGAGCGATTCAATAATAACTGAAACCAAATGCGATCATATCCCGAGTGCCTTGGTCAATATTGACTTCGATTAGAAGAGGGTGTTATTTTAAATGCGAAACGTCTGCTGTCTAGGCGGCGCATACAGCAATACATAGACGAGTTATCTAACTATAATTTTTTTCTGGGATAGTAGTGTCCAGAGTGTCCAATAATTCTTATACACAAAATAAGAACCTCACGTATACAGTTATTTTTTTTTGCTATGCATCTTCATTGTTTAACAAAATACACCTGTAATTAGCATTAGTGTTTTTAATTCTTTTTCAATATCTTTGTTAATATGGTTCCATAAGGCACCGATATCGGACATTGCTGCACATATGCACTGTTTTTTCGTCTCACACTTCAACATGATGTTAAGCAATTTTTATTGCAATTTCTAAGAGAAAGAAACAAAGATACAGTAGGACAAAGGACAAAGATGAACATTTGCAGTGTACAATGATTATCGTTTCATGGAGATCTATTATTTTTTACACGTGTATCTAAGCTAACATACGCATTCAAAGATTGAATAAGATGTGTATGATAATATATATAATTGCAAAATTACATTATATATATATATATATATATACTTGCTAAATTACATGTAAAATACAAAAAAAAATATATATATATATATTTTTTGCATGTAATTTAGCAAATCGGAAAGTAGCAATTAATAGAGAAAAATAAAATCCCAACATTTACCGATGTCTGAATCCCTTTGTTATTGCTTTGCGCATAAATTCGTTACGAGTAGGTGTCACTATAAATGTATTTAATTATCATGTACAGTTTGCATAAGCCCTTGGATCGACCATTGAAACGGATATCTGAGTTTTTTAATACTTTACTGTTTACCTGTTTCCATCACCCAATCTTAACTAACAACTTCAGAACAATATTAATTCAGAGACAAAACTTTGTCGAGAAAAGTCGAAACCTGGCTTTCTATTCCTATTTTGCAATTTTTTATCAATAAAGACGGTGGTAAGTTTATACGTTTGTCGTCTTGCATTCGCAACAAATTCCCAATCGATAATTGAAATGTTAGTTAGTATATCCGTAGACCGGTACCCGCTTTTAAATGAAGAATATTTACACTAAAAATTACTGTCTCACGTAAGATTTTCATGTTTATTAAATAGTTTAGGAATGTTTTAAGTTTACTCGGTTTTGGTTTATTCAAAATTTAAAATCCAAAAATATATTTAAAAGAGTCAACTTTATACATTTGCGATCAGCGGAAGTTTAGTTTCTGAAAAAAAGGAGGAATTTGGATCAATTCTGCTAATGAATGTTGCTTCCTTCAGTCGTAGTTAGATCATGCTAAATTTAAGGTTCTATTATTGCCACAACACTCAGACTGATCTCGTTATCCACGGCTAGCGTTGCGTCTATACTATATTCTGTAACACACAAAATTGAAAAATACTTTTTTACGCCACACCTTGAAAAGGTTGTGACATACTTTTATTTCAGCATTTCACAGCACGACAATTACTACGGCCATACATCAACGGTTGAAGTCATTTACTGCGCGGTTTTACCACGGCCGAATCCACCACGGAACTGGAATTCGCCCTCTCCGGCCCCAACATCCTTCTTCTCGTCCGTCTGAGGGGCATGTCGATATGCATCACGCTCATCTTTGCCCTCAGTAGTACGGGGGCCAGCAGAACGACGAGATCCGGTATCCTCAGCCTTGACCTTCTTCAAGAGAGTTGCCGGCACACACTCCGACGGGATATGTAAGTAGTCCCGTAAGAATACAGTACCCTCGTTCGTTAAATACCAGTAGTAATGGCGCCACGCAAATTGCTCGGTAACATAGTTACGAGATTTCAATGATTGACAGGCCTTGATGACTTGCAGATTCGGCACTCCTTCAAGTTCGGGGTGCGACTGAAGCTGGAAGTCCTTTTCAGCAACCATCACGCCATCCTTAAAAAGATGATTAAAAAATTAAGTTTTTTTTGCATTCAAGATATGGCGGAATCACTCAGCTATCGCATTCAGCAAACCTATGCAGGCCACTATGGCTGAGCTATTTCTACATTTTTCGTCTTGGAAGCATGTCGGAAATATATAACGATCCTTCAGCTAAAAAAAAGCCGAACAATCCACCGAATAACCATTTTTCTGTGGGAGCATTTGACGCCAAGGTCAGTCTACTGATACTGAACTCGTGGGTTAGCTCCAGTCTGTTTTAACGCAGTGGCTACTCTCTAGCAGTTGCTATGGCCTTCATGTTAAGTACATGCAAATAAGTGTACGAAATATATTTTTGGAAATCATGGCTTCTTATAACGAAAATGTCAGCAACAAATTTCCTAATAGAACACATGCTATCTAGGCGCTGTTACAGACAACGCTAGTTTAAAAGATTCGGACATTTGCCTAACATTGATGATCGAAATCTTAAATATCCTTGCTAATCACGTTAGACGATCATATTTAGTTTTTAAAAACGATAAATCTATAATACCAAATTTAAATTTAGCTCTTCAAGGTCTTCGGAGGGGACGACACGAATTCTTATTATGTACAAAAGACGATTGGCACATAAGTACTATCGACCTTCGTTACCTGAAACAGGCGATCGTAGATGGCGATCGTGTTCTTCTTGGGCATAAGCATCTTGGCGGTTCTATAAAACAAATTATCGCATCGTAAGTACCAATGTCAGAAATCACAGAAAGTTATTTAGGTAGTATACTCACAGAGATGATAAACGCAAATATTATATTAGGCCACGTTCACATCTGATCTTAGTGAATTTTCGGTCTCATATTCGAATGACCACTGCAACATAATGTGTGCAACCCCGTGCAACAAACCGGTAGTGTCCGATGGTTTGAAAAACGCCCTTTTTATAAAACTTCCTGATCAAAAATTAGCTCACAATCAATTCGATGATGCTTTATGAAGCACTCAAGCACAACTTAACAACACATTTTGTTTAAATTCAGATGATTTAAATGGATTTTGAATTACAAACCTAGCAACGCAACTCGCTGCAAAAATGGTCGACACAAAAAAGACGTTGGGATTGCAGACGTTTTTAGAGGAAAACATTGTCGCCACCGTAACCTTTGTGTTTGTTTACCTGAGGCGACTGGGAATTTGGTGGCGCTAAATTTGAGTTCAATTAGCGCAAGCCGAGGTCTCAAAAAAGAAACATATTTTCTCTCATCAGTTTTGTTGCTCGAACTGCCTGTGAAAATCATTACAGACATAAATGACTAGAGTTCCAGAAGGCGTGCCATATTCCGAAATTGCAAATGTTGTAGATTTTTCGTGAATTATTTGCTAACACTCTTTTGCGTATATGTTCACACATGCTGGATTTTAATTAAACGTTTTACCAATTTCAATAAAAATTTCTACCAATTTCAGTTGAACCTTTCAGGATTTGTTTCGTACTTCAAGAGCAGCCCATGCCAGACTGAATTTTCGAACGTAAATCAGATTGGCCTACTTATAATTGTTCGAGCACCTCGAAACACTTAGATACTGCTACAGATATCTTTCGCATAACTTACCTATGCCTATTTTACTATTCAACAATGGATGGGGTTTGCCTAACATTTTCAGCTATTCTCACTGCGTGAACAAATCGTCGGAATCACCTCTTCCGTATAGCATCAAAGGCCTGCACCAATTAGAGGGTCTAACCGTGGTAAGCCATGCCGTATTCAAGTGGAGTTCTACAAACCTATGAAATGGCATTGCAAATGGTATCGGCGTCTGTCTATTTCTTGTGTATGTTGCTAAATGGATTGGTATAATTTATTTATATAAGCATTTGCGGTCGTGTTTGGAAGCATAGGACCTAGCAACCGTATGTGCATAAGTGAGGTCCTAAAATGAACCTTTACGGACTATTTCCTTTTTTGTGTATGGTTCATTAACTGAAAGCAATGTAAACAGTGAGATCGAGATTTCTGTAAATAGAGAAATATCCTCACTATTGTTGTGGTGACCAAGAAGCATGCTTTGCTCATACCAAGAACGCTTTACCATTTCAGCAATAAATCGGCTGAATCACATAAGGGCTTCCATAACCTCATACGAAAAGTTATGAAGCGAATATATCGTTTCGTTAGTTTGTGAAGGAGTCTAACATGATGTAGTGCCGTTATCAAACGTCTAGGAAATATATCATCATCATTATTATTATTATTATTAGACTAGGTCTTCTTAGATGAACTATTTGAAGGCGTTGAAAGGCAATCAAAAGAAAATTACTTGGTATGTATATTTTCTCAAAATTTGTTCGTATTTTTATGTTTTGGTCATGATCGTTCACGTTTACTGGTTACAGCTGGTTACTGCTTTTATAACTTATATATACCTTTTTTTATAACATACCTTTATATTAGCCCACTGGGCTGTCTTGTTTACTTACCGCAAGTTTGTCAAAAAAAAGTAAAAACAGACAAATTACTTGTCGTGTGCCCCTTCGCACCGCTGACTGCTCAAAACGCAATGAGTGTATTTTTTATACCCTGTAATCGCGTCAAATGCCTTTCGTATCCCTAAGTGTAGTGTCGATAGCGCGTAATCAGTTTGTTTACAACTGGTGCAGTCGCCACAGCTGTGCGGCTGGGCAAGTTCGATGTAACGAGAGAGGGAAGACCAAATGGGAGCTGTCGGCTCCACCGAACGTGGGCAACACAGTGCACCCCAATCAGCCCGCAGTAAGCAGCTTCATGACCGCCACGACAGACGATGCGATCAATTATAGTTGGTGAGAAGGATGAATAAACTCAAAACCATCAGTTACCATGACACAGTGCTGCATCCATTAACTTGATAATTGTCGCATGGTGGCGATAAAGAAGCCTGCAAAGCGCGGTACTTTCTACGATCTACTATGCTGTGCTATATTGTAATGAATGCACGGAAATATATGGATAAAAACTGAAACATTACTATTGGTGTATACATTCGTTATAACGCGATTTGGACGAACAAAATACAAGACAAGAAAGCAACAAGGGGTATATGTGTTACCGCCATCTCTTGATGGCAAAATATACTCAATCGGAGTGTGTTATTGTTGTTTTTGTGGCCAAAAAGACCCTTGTCTCTTGCCCAGAGGACAAGTACTGTTATTTGCGTTGAAAGAGCAGTCGTTATATCGACGACGGCAAAGTGAACTACTCATTGTCAAGTGTGAAAAATATCGGGGGACAAAAAAACAGGCGACGAAAGGCAACATCATGCCGAGGTGCGGCAATATAAATATTGCATGCGTATACAAGTAGCAATAACGAATATTGCGTAGTATAATGGTACTTTCTATACATCTGTCATTTAGCAGAGGGCTCTGACCGCCGGTAACTGACATTGCCTATATTTAGAATGTGATCGATGATTTTCAGTTTGTTTAGATAGGTCCGCCAAATCTACTACTAGAAAAGTCTATTAGCGAAACTCGGCGATTTTTGCAGATTATTGACTGTGGCAACTTTAGTACCATCACATGAACAAAATAAAACACTTTGATGTAGGAGTATATGACTCAGTTAGTTTTACAATATCAATAATAATGATTTTACATTGCGTGTACTAAAAGTAAGATTCCTCATTTAAGTATCATTTTTCAACAACGTAATACGAGCCACCCTAATCTCACTCAGGCTGCCACAAGTAATAAAATAAATTAGGCACAGAATAAAACAAAAGTTTGCTGTTTAATTATTTGTAGTTACTAATTATGCGCGTTAGCGGAGCTGGTTGACGTGTTCATGCTCTTCTCACTTTCCGTTAAAATAATTGGCTAATGACCACACTTCTCTATTGTGTACCAGTATATTATTTTTTTCAATATTATACTGAGATAACAATTTTTGAGAATTGGAAGAATGAGCGCGGTTCGTGTCCGACTTAAAAAGAAAGTAGACTAATAGAAAGACATTCAGTATTGAGCAGGTGTTTCAAATGGACAAAAAAGAAGTGACTAGAATTTTTTTGGATATTGAAGATGTACAGAAAATCTATATACACAAGAATTTACACCCGATTATTAAATACTCCATTTTATTAAACTCCTGCTAGTTCTGTTCGTTTAAAAAACATTGAACTTGAATCGAAATTACGATCTGGCAGAAATTGAGAGAGATTGTATGGAGCTCATTAATTTCTTTCATTTTTTGTCTTACTACGGCATGCAGATAGCATGCATGCTTTTTTCGTATGTCAACTCTTTATGGTACTTTATGGAACCGTATTAAAATGTTTGTAAAAAGAAGTTCTTTGAGACTGAAGTAGCGATGTCGTCAATGAAAAACTTGTACCTCCACAACAAGGACACGGCAGATGTTTTTCAACGTTTTTGTAATTGTATAAATGGATCACTTTATTTAATTTTACCTTACTTAAGTCGACATTTTAACAGGCGTGAAGTTTAAATCAACTATCTTAGGCAACCTATTTTGTATTCAGATTCACATTATCAGGAAGCACTAATTAATTATGCATTATGACTAACGTTAAATTTTCATATATATTCATTTTCTAACTTTGGGTTTGACAGGGCTCCTAAAGGCGGTGGAACAAGCCCAGCATGGCGTCGACCGGGTGTGGCCCAGCTGCGGGCCCGCCAAAATGTTCTCTTGGAGAATGCTCAGAAAAAGTACTTCACACCACTTGACTTTCAGGTATAATTCAGTGAAGTTTTCATTAGATACTGTTGTTTGAAAAATGACGATATCTTCTCGAATCTGTTTATCAGGACCTTTCCAGTAATGGTTATTCGGTAAAATTCACAACGAAGAATTTAATTGCAGATAAAAAAGTTTATAATTATGATCTTCGTTCTAAATCCGTTTTATAAATACAATAGATAGTAAAGACATGGCATAAAATAATTATATGGTGCTATGAATGTGAGAAGTAACTCTGTTTTTGATTTGAAATTCACAGGTTGAGTTAGTGAGTGAAGCAAGAAACACATCGGCTGGGAATAGGGTGATCTTCGTCAGTGGTCAGGACAAGGCTTATCTTATAGTGAATCTCCTCAAAGAACTTGCGTATCAAATTCGTCCTATTTCATGCACTTGTAAGTTGGCTACGTTAACTTCATCCTTTTGAAAATATTTATCAGCAATGGAGCAATTAGAACTACGTCTAGATATAACATATATAAGTCTAACTCTTAAAGACCGCGATTTGACAGACTATCAACCTCTATTAAACCCATTTTTATTTCAGTAAATGCAGTAATGTTTAATACGTAATGCTTAATAGTATTATCGTCAGAGCAGATTAAAATAGAGATCAACTGAGCAGCAAAAGCAGTTAAATACTTCATTTGTATTGTCCCACGCTTCGATTCAGCCCAAATTCATCAGGGTACCTACCGGTTACACATGATTTGTTTTCAGCAAAGAAGGTCCTAATTGTTTGTAAGAACTCTGAAGAATTGGGAACTACGCGCTTGTGGATTGAGGATTACACTGATCTGCCATGCTGTTTCTTAGAAAAAGAAAAAGACGTTAATACGATGACTACATCTTTACAAAGCTGTGGTGTTATTCTCACACTTGCCGCAGCAATTTGCTATTTACCAGCGTTTGTACAAATTTTAACTGTTGTACTAGACAAATGCGACGTTCTGTTGCAAGACGATACTGCAGAAGACCCGACGACAAAACAGACAAGATTTCCAGTTCAGAACCTTGACCCAATGAAGACGCTGGTCGATTTCGTTACCGATCGTAGGTTGCACGTTGTAGGGTTGACCAGCGCGTTGAGCGGTGTAGGAAGTGCCGATACGGCACGAGCTCGAATTCAACGTCTCGAAAAGACTTGGCAGGCTACAGCTACGGTTTGTAATGAACTAACTGTCCTATCGAAGTATGGACCAAAACCTATAGAAAAAGTATTAGAATATGGGATATACTATGAGAGTCATCCAGAGTATGATTTGGCATTGAAGTTAATTGAAGATAGCTTGGATTTCCTCGAACTGTTCATGAAAGCCAAAGGAAACCACTCGGAGGTCATCCAAGAGGCGATGCGTTACCCTATGGAACTAGCGTATATTTTCATCACGTTGGGACCCTGGTGTGCTGCTGAAGCAGCACAGGAATTTTTAGTTGAGGTGTCCCGCTCTATTGACAACATCGAATGGCTACAAGATATCCAGATATCGATGACCACCTTACAAATTGTGCACACGTTTCTACAGCAACTTCATGCACTGTGCCGGAACCTTGTTACGAAGACGAAATTCGATCCTTTGAATCCGGTATCGTACTGATCCTTTATTTATTCTAGAGTTTACTGATAAGCTACGCATAGAATGATTTAATGAAGTCATCTGTATTTTGCATGACGAATACTTTGAACAAATTCTTATCTTTCGTATTGAGGTGTTTAAATATCATACCTTTAATCGCATAACTCCTCTAACGTTCCTTTAGACCAGTATCAAATACAATGATCACGTTTAGGTATATTTTTTTGTCGTATACATTAATCAATAATTAGTTTCTGTTGTTCTTTTACTGTTTCAGGGTGCTAGGCACCCTGACAAATTGGTGACGTTCCTTGAAGCGGTTGGGCTGTATACGGAGCCGAAAATGCTGCCGACGCAGCCCTCAGAAGACCGTGAAGGAAAGAAGACACGTCCTCACTATGTGCCCTGGCACGAGGACCCTACCGCCCTTTGTGGACTGGTCATAGTACGGCACCGAATCACTGCGCTTGTGGTCAACAAATGGTTGCAAGCTATAGCTAAAACAATGCCCAAACTTGCTTTCGTCAAGTCCAACTTCATCATCGGCCAAACAACGCTTGACGGCGACGATCCAAAACTTGTCGCCGCTGGCCTCACTCGACAGGAAGAAGTGTTGCAAAAGTTCCGTTTTCGGGAGTACAACCTGTTGATCACGACGACGGCTACTGAAGACACCCTCGAGCTGCCTCACTGTAACCTCGTAGTTCGATTTGATCCGCCGGAAAGTTACAAAAGTTACATTGTGTGCAAAGCGAAAGCTAAAGCGTCGTCGAAATGCGCTCGATATTTTATCATGTTATCACAGTATGAAACGGCCAAATTCACTCATTTGTTTAGTGACTATAGAAAAATGGAGCAACTCATGCTGGAACGAAGTCATCGTGATGACATCACGATCGAGGGAGACGAAGGCGCGTCGCCAGCCGATAAGGAGCGGTTCTATCAACCGTCGAAGAAGGGCGAGTGTCTTATGGCAACTCTGTCGAATGCAATCCCTATAGTGAATCGCTACTGTGCGCGCCTGCCGTCGGATTCGTTAACAAAGTTGGCCCCCATATTTAGTATCAGTCAATTGGACGGTAATAGATTCCAGTGTACTTTGCGATTGCCGGTCAACTGTCCGCTGAAAGAGCTGATCGTTGGGGAAGCAATGTCATCACCCGTTCTGGCGAAACAGGCAGTGGCCTTAAAAGCCGTCGAGATGCTTCACAAAGCAAAAGACATCGACGATCACCTGGCACCGTTAGGCAAAGACTCGCTCAAGGCACAATTAGAGGATCAAGTGGCGCCACTTAACGAAATCGTCCCACAGGGTGCGCCGAGACCAGGCACAACTAAACGTAGGCAATATTACTACAAAGAGGTGGCTGACACATTTAAAGGTGATGTGACAACGAACCGATTTTATTTGTATAAGATGTCGATGAAACTAGTATGCGCAATTCCCGATGAGCAGAATGCCAGAGCCAGAGAAATATATGATCCGGCAGAAACTCCTCGCGGGTTTGGCTTAGTATCCAGCACGAGATTACCGGCCTTATGCCCCTTTCCGATCTATACACGCTCAGGTGAGGTGCTGGTAGAAATTGAGGAAATCTGTGATACTGTTAAAACATCAAACGAGCAGCGGAAAATGGCTGAGTTTTTTCATCTGTATGTATTCCGTGATGTTCTTCGGCTGGAAAAGTTCCCCATGAAGTTCGACCTTAAAAATGCAGAGTGTGGCTTCCTTGTCGTACCTATAACTGGTCAATCGGTTGAATGGGACTTTGTAAAAGAAATTTACTTGCAAAGGGATTTTAAACCTCAAAAAATTGAAGAGGAATTGAGAAAAAAATTCGTATTTAACAGGGAGCTGTTTGCTGATGCAGTGGTGATGCCATGGTACCGAAACATTGACAAACCACAGTTTTTTTACGTGGCCCAAATTTGCGATGATTTAAGTCCGATGAGTGGTTTTCCGGACAGCACAATTGCAACATTTGACGAATATTATCGTTACAAGTATAACATCAATGTCTGTAACAAAACACAGCCGCTTCTCGACGTTGACCACACATCTGCTAGACTAAATCTTCTCACTCCGCGGTACGTCAACAGAAAAGGAATAACTTTACCCGCCAGTAGCGAAGAAACCCGAAAAGCAAAAAGGGAAAATCTTCAACAAAAGCAGATACTTATTCCGGAGCTGTGTCTGGTACACCCATTCCCTGCATCACTCTGGAAAAAGGTGGTATGTCTGCCATGTATTCTGTACAGAATGAACTATCTCCTTTTGTCGAACGAGATACGGCTACGAATTGTTCGAGAGGTTAATATTGGAACGGCAGAGTTACCCGCTGGTTTTAAATGGGAAGCTCTCAATTTTGGTTGGACTTTATCCGAAGTATTGGAAGACGCAGCGAACAAAGAAATCGCAGCTGCTGCTCAAAAACCAGCCCGAGAGCCAGTTAGCGAAGAAAAGATTGCTGAGATTCGAAAACCATTCATCGGAGGGCTTCGTAAAGAAGGCGTTGAACTAACTCCCGCAGGAGAGCTTGTAATAGATACTTTCGACCCGTCAAAAGTCAATATCCCCAATGACGAAGAACTTCTTGAGGCCGAACTGCGGGACGTTGAGTTTACTCGACCAAATTTTGATTGGAAACCGATTCCAGGTGTAGATGAAACTAGAGTTAGGGTGGGGTCACCATCCCAATTCGAGACCGAACAAGAATGGCACATGGACTATGAAACCGAGTTTGTTAGCATAGACGGTTTGCCTGGTCTGGGTTACATTTCGGCACCTGGAATGTTCAACATTAATGGACTTTCCGAGGCGCTTGTTCGTCAACGGGATGAGGATATTTACGATAGTGCGGACGAAGAGAGTTTGCTTGAAGATATGCAAAATCCTGATGATGTACCATTACCAGATAAACAGGGAGGCGGCAAAGAGGATGTCGAGTACAACTCGTTATGGCTTTCACCGTGCAGCAACCTCCAGCAGACAAAGCCCCTTGAAGGTATGCACACAGATGCTGCTGACGTTTGCGAGGACCTACTAGGACTGCAGATTCAGGTCTGCAAGGGAGGAAAAATGGGGATAAATTTTTCAACATTGCCGCTTATTAAACGCGCCCTAAACTATATGGAGGCGCCGTCTGAATTCGATATAAACGATGACTCGAACGGCCTTATCGAAGATCACTATGTGAGCAATGAAGTCGTTTTTGGAGAATTACTTCAAGGTCGTGATGAAATGGAGGAAGCTCCATCTGAACTACGCCCAATCCATTTTGACGAAGATGTCGAAACCGTCGGTCCAAGCCCTGCTATTATCTTGCAAGCTCTAACAATGTCTAATGCCAATGATGGGGTAAATCTTGAGCGGCTCGAGACCGTGGGAGACTCGTTTCTAAAGTATGCCGTTACTAATTATATGTACTGTGCGTATCCAGGGGTACACGAAGGCAAGCTAAGCTTCCTTCGCTCTAAACAGATCTCTAATGTAAACCTATACAGATTAGGACGTGACAAAGGTTTTGCCGGACGGATGGTCGCTACCAAATTTGACCCATCCGATAATTGGCTACCGCCTGGATTCTGCATTCCGGAAGGACTTGAGAAGGCTGTTCTGGACGCAGGCATGCCGAACAACCACTGCAACTTGGGACAGTTTAAGGCAAGTAAAACTCACGTTTTTTGGTTTCCAAAAAAAGGAGTTATGTCACATTCGAATAACCGTCATCATATAGCAAAGAACAGTTCCTAAGTGTACTATAAATCTAACTCGTTTTAGGAGGGAGCAAACGCTGATGGGAACGGAGTTACTACAGACGAGTTCGTTCCGTACTCACTGTTGACCCACCATTCGATTCCCGACAAAAGCATAGCTGACTGCGTTGAAGCCTTAATTGGGGCCTACCTGGTGTCTTGCGGAAGGCGACGCACCCTTGAGTTCATGACCTGGATGGGCCTTAGGGTGCTACCCGTATCCAAAACACCGAATTCTAACGAAAGTGGAAATGAGGCAAACAGAGCACAAAATGGCCCCGGTAAGTGTCATATATTGGTGGAATACACAAGCCTTATGTATCAGTAGTACCGCCAATCCGCGGATATGTGAACGCTTTTCCATACTGCGGATGTGACCGGATTTCCTGTACTACAAATTACATGTAAATATGAAATGAGAAAAAGTTGTACCAGATAGAAAAAATAACTTCTTCGATTTTCCAATACTTTTTTTCGATTTTCTATCGATTTTCCAGATAAAAGAAACCTAACAATGGGATTCATGAAGCATACACATAACGTGGGGCTTATTTGCTAATATCGCCATTCTTCTAATGAACTATACTTGCTACAGTGACCAACGATTTATAAAATATTCTCCAACTTATATAAATTGAATTTTTTATAGTCTTATGGAGATCCTTTCAGCTACGTTGGTATACTTATAGGCAAACAAAGCCGTGCACATCGCTATGGATCGGTTTTACCTCCAGTTAAGAGAATTTACTTTTTGTTTATTACTATACCCTTGTTGAATCTAAACAATATAAATATGTTGGGTTATACGGAATTGATTAGGGAGTTTTAAAACCTGAATGGCATAGGATAGTAGTACATATTATGATAATAACGTTCTTTCTATATTTGACTATGCAGGGAATACACTGGAACACACTCTTCCAACTATGAGGCCATGCGATGAGATCCGTTCACAATTTGCTGAAGTCCCGTCACCGTTACCGTCTTCGTACGACGAACGTCTTCTTGATCGACTTCTGAATGGGCATCAATCATTCGAGGAGAAGATCGGTTACCGTTTTCGCAACAAGGGATTTCTCCTACAGGCTTTTACTCATGCCTCTTACCACTATAATACACTAACAGACTGCTATCAGCGGCTCGAGTTCCTAGGAGATGCAGTTCTAGACTACCTAATAACAAGGTAGATTTAGATTTACCCACATTTTTTAACTGTTACTTGTCTGGTATTTGAATGACAGTTAAAAAAAAATAGAAGCTATAGTATTTATACTATTCTCATTGGACTCAACACATCAGCGGAATTAATGCTTATTTCACTAGTTATCAAATTGAAGACTCAGCCGCCGTTTTTGATAGTGAGGCTTGACTTCCATGTTCGAGCCCACCTTATTCTGAGATGCTTTTCAAGTTCGATATTTTTGCAGAGGCGATTATTTCAGACAATTCAATAGCAGTTTTTAAATCGAATTAGCGCTACGTGTTTCTCCTCGTGTCTCGAAGACTGCATGTCAACTATCCACTCCATAAACGAAAAATGCGAAAATCAAGTCTGTAAAATCTCGTAGGATATTATTAGTAATAACAACAAATACATGTTTTGGCCGTTTCAGGTACTTATATGAGGATCCTTGTGCGCAACACAGCCCAGGTGCATTGACCGACCTGCGTTCAGCTCTAGTTAATAATACTTTCTTTGCGGCGCTGGCAGTCAAATACGAATTTCATAAATACTTTCTCAATCTTTCGCCCCGTCTTTTTAATCTTATTCATCGCTTTGTGAACACAAAGAAACATCTCAGCGGTGCTCAGTATTTTGAAAAGTATTACCTCGGTGAGGACGAATGTGAAGAAGCCGAAGAGATTGAGGTGCCGAAGGCTTTGGGAGACATTTTTGAGTCCGTTGCCGGAGCCATCTATCTTGATTCTGGCTTATCTCTTGACGCCGTCTGGAATGTCTACCTGAAAATGATGGCACCAGAGATCGCCTATTTCTCAAAGCACGTGCCTAAATCGCCGATCCGTGAACTTCTTGAACGCGAACCACAAACAGCGAAGTTCGAAAGGGCTGAACTAACTTTAAATGGAAAGATACGAGTTCGAGTTGAGGTATTCGGCAGGGGAAGTTTTATAGGCATTGGTCGTAATAAGCGGATTGCTAAGTGTACAGCAGCAAAGCGGGCTCTTAGAGTGCTTAAAGGTCCAGACGAAGGCAGTAGCTACACCAAAAACATATAGAAGTGAAGAAGGCAGGGGGTACAGATCGCTTGTGATACAGTTAATTTAAGTCAACTTTATGTTATTGTATGATTCTGCTGACGCCCTTATAAAGGAATCACTGAAGATAACAAAATCAATTGATCGATACGTTTTGTCGAGATCGAAAACCGGTTTGGTAGAGTTCAGATAGCTTAACTCCAGAGGTTTTCATGAGAAGAGATCTTGCCGCAGAGATTGAGCAGTATTGATCACACCTAAAGACATCGTTTTTGGGGATTATAGATGTTTAACAATGATGGGTGATAATAGCATGTCCATGTAAGGTTTTGTATACCGCGAGTTTTACGTGACGGATATATAGTGGAATGATGAATCGCTAACCAGTCATGCATGACCAGATATAGAGAAATGTGGTAGCATGCCATTTGGGTACGTAAAACACTGGACCGCGTTTGAGCGTAATAATGTATCATCATCAGTAGAATTAAATATAATCCAAGGCAACTCGCAGCTTGAAAAAGGATTCCTGTGAACAAATGATTATGCTGTAAATATTGACGATATCGGATATAGGTGAAGGATGTATTGACCTCTATGCAGAATAGACCGGTTAAACATGAGTTCACAGGGACTTACTGATGAAACAATAATTGACTCTAATAATAAAGAGACACAATTTACATCATAGTCATTGGCATGTTCGTTATTTATTGTGCAGGGATGGGTTCCCACAAATATGACATACAGAGTTCAGTAGAGACATACCTAAGGCCCAGTAATTTCTAAAAGGTGTAAACTTCTTATATTGCCACAGCGTGCAGTTTGCCCACCATAAATATAGTTACGGTCTCCACGTACAGCTTTACGAATGTTTGAACACGAAATTGCCGTGAAAACAGATCATCAATTACTGAATAGTGATGGTACTTATAAAAATACGCCCGGTGCTCAGTATAATACGTAGTATTTATCGAACAGAATAGTATAACTAAAAGCTTATTGAAAATAATAACATAGGAGAAGGGAGCAAAAGTGTTTCACAACCGACTTTCATTTTCTTTGGAAACCATATATGTATATATATATTATACGGTCCGATTTCCCTATTTAAACGAAGCAAATGTTCGAAAGAGTCGACAGTGAAACATATATATATATATATATAGTAATGTAACTCTGGGATGCAAAGCCAATTTTGTCCGTAGGGACTAAAAATTGAATTAGGAATGGACGCTTAATGCTGCGCGGTAAGGACTTTGGATTTCCTCAAAGCTGTACGCTGCGACCTGCCAGTACGTTTACTTGGAAACCCAGTTTGCTTGAACTGTTAAAATCTTTCACGTAATGATCAATTTATAACAACACGCATAATCCTTCCTGTATATAATTCGCTATTGTTTTCTTATGTAAATAAGAAATATATATATATATTTTATATAAATATATAAAGCATGCACTCATAAATGAGTCAATTAAATATAACACTACACGTGTTAGTACATAGTGCTTATGTAAATAGTTCAACTAATAGAGCTGTGCTCTGCGTATGTGCCGGGGGGGGGGGGGGATATGAGAAGAAACGATAGAAGAAACCGCTTCGACATGAAGCTTGTAAGACCTGCCGTGGCTGCGCCCGAAACCTTTAAAACAAAGGAAAACCAGTCGACGGATTCGATTGCCGACGAGTTACAGATATGGATTCCGTGATATTATTATCATCGAATAATTGCACCTTCTGTTATTGAGTTTGAAATTACTGGATTAAGCTTAGCTATGTGTTACCTACAGTTTAAGAGTCCTGCTTGTAATGACAATGTTGGGCTGGGCTGACGTGACATCGGCCGTGTTTGGGCAGAACGAGCATGAGTTAAGGATCCCAACCAACATTCTTTTTACGCATTGATCACAAGTCGAATTCCTTGGTTATTCTACTGGTAAAACAATTCCCAAGAAACAGAATTATTATTGTTATTATTATTATTATATGTACTTTGCAAGTGAGTATCGTGTAGCTAATACTACATAACTTTAAGAAAATACTCATGTATTACTTTTGGGAGAAGCATAAAACCTTTACGCCCATATTTATTCAAAATGCCGGATCCAGGCTAGTGTGGCCATGTACAGTTTTGTGGAGAACACGGAGTTTCTGGTTCATGTATGAAAACCTTCTTCAAAATGCGCGTCTTTCTTGTTCAGATACATGCCGTGGCTTTCGAATATAGGGCCAGCGACCTGAAGGCTTGTTTAAAATGAAAATAATTTTTTTTTAATAAATAATGTTATGTACGAGATTTACTGCCCAAATTTAACCTTACGACAAGGAACAATAATAAATTCTATTTTAAATATTCCATTCAAATGCTTAAGCAACATCTGACTTTTTCGCATGATGTTTTGCCATTACGTTCATTAAATATGAATGCTGAAATTTCACAAATTGTGGTATAGGGTTGAACCCAGACATAGGCACACGTGGTTTCGTGCTAGAAGCGAGGCGTCTAATAAAATGCTTAGCGGCGATACCGGACTTAAAAGTCGAAACATAGAGAATGAATTACGGCTTGTACATCTTAGGAACGCCGTAAAAAGAGTCTGCTTTATGTTTCTTGGCAATTAAATTGCGATAAAAATTAAGTGGATGGACTCCAAGACGGCTGAGCAAATGGCCATGTCAGTTTAAGTCTATAGGTGGCTAACGAAAGCCGATAATAGAGTTGAGCATTGGTTGGCGCTTTTTTGTGAACGAACCTATCACAACTGAATCGGTTTTTCTCGTCAAAGTAAAAACTAAATTAATGATCCTTTTGTTATGAAGTTATAGGCTATGCACTATAAAGCTTCCTCTACCGATTAAGAAATTCGTTGACTATAGCTTTAATATACTGCAAAGGTTTCATTCGCCAACAGTCAATTTCTATTTTATTTACACTTTAATTAAAGTTAAAAATATAGATATTTGCGAAATTAGTGCGAATAAGCATACGTATATTTCACTATCATGATATTCTTTTTTCGTTTATTAGAAAATGTAACACTTTTGACTCGTTTTGTCTTCGGTACAAAAAGAACTATCTAGTGACCAACAAAGTGTTATACTGGTTATAATTTTCGGGCATCCTGGGCAGCAACTGATCAACGTTAAGGCGATGACCATTGCAGACAATTCACAGGCAGTTGTTTTAGGTAGATCACTGGTAATTGGACTTTGGTGGTAGTGCCAATAATTATATGTTGGGTGTTTGAACGACTTCGATAGATCTACTTCGCGGTCTCCACAATTAATTTTGATAGAACTCACATCTAACTGCGACGTGCCTGTTCTTAGCGAACTGACTGAATTTGGTGAAAAGTAACTACGCATTGGGCTTCTATTGATCTTAAGCCTGGCAAGGAATTTTCATGTAACCAATGGGTTTTGCTCAAACAAAGTTAAATGAACCTTGAAACGTATTCACCATTCATACATATGAGGTGCTCGGAAATACAAAAATTACGATCTTTTTTGTTTGTGCATCGTAAAGAGTACATTGTGTTGTATATGTGTTACCTATTTCTTTGGAATATATTGTCAGTTGCAAAATCAAGGCCTTTGAACATTATAGTTTCCTTATGGATATCATTCCCGAACAGTTTAGTTTCAGTTAGTAACTGACGTTGTCTAAGCCAGACACTGCCATAAAATCCGGACTACTATTTCACGTACATAGTGAGATACATTTTTGAATTTTGAAAACTGATTGCGAGATCTTCACGCAAAAATCTGGTAGCACAGTTATGACATTGTGCGAACAACTCCGACTTTCACCAGGTATAATTAAGGTCATTGTCTGTTTCGTCGTTAGAATTGTAACTTCGCTATGTTATGCAAAAATACGAAGATGCCAAGATAGAAATTTGAAGTTACTAGAATCGGCTCAAATGATAACTAGCACACATTCACGTTGATGCTGAACTTTAATTGCGGTGCATTATCCGGAAAAAAGGTTAGGGTTTTAATCATGCTGAGCTCTTTAATAGAACATTTGCAAGACATGCTTCTGAAGAACTATATAATTAATTGCTATTTTTAATGCTTAGTTGAATGCTTACTCATTGAGAAAACACATTAGCGAACTACCATATCCATTCTCTTCACGAATGCAATGGGCCTCTCACCAAAAGCCTTTCGTTTTATAACAACTACAATTTCAACTAATTAACTATAAGATACGTTTTAATAGTTTTAGTACTTTAAGCTGTTGGAACAGTTGTGGTGACAGAAATAACGGCAAAGGTAGTGTTCTTTACAATTCTTTAAAAGCGTTCCAATGAGGGCAAAGAACGGCGCCTGCAGTTAACGGTATATTTGCTGATAGACTCCATCGAATTGCAGGAAAATAAGCAGAACCATCCCAATGAGAGAACAACAAATCTGGTTGTACGTCCGCTATACATTGTGTATGTGATACATAGCTACACAGCATTGCTCGTTGCCCTCTGACCTTATTCTGACTGGGATGCGTTAATGTTACGAAGTTAGTGACCAACCGCTCACTGACGGCCAGCGGATGGTAAAGGTTAGTATGGATGCTGTACCTGCTTCATAAATCGTGCTTATTGGCGAGTTATTCGTCCGGGAGATGGATAACCAAGTACATGTCATGTAAACACGCCCGAATATAGTAGATTCAGTCGTTCCTAAATATTGAGTTAAGATCAATGTATCAGATAGAACTTGTATGTATTGCTATCTGACGCTATCGCTAGAGTATCGCTACTCTCGCGAGATGGTGCGCGAAACCTACACGAGTCTTTTGGTAGCGCCATTAGTACCATGTATAGTGCATTTTTACGCATTGTCGTTTCTAACAGAAATTACTAAAGCGTGGTACCTTTAGACCACATCGCTACGAATCTTTCTGCTTAACATCGTGTAGCAGTTTACTACATATGGTGTTATTGGAAGTCACGTGGTCATGTCCAACATCCAAGCATCGGCAAAGCTTTAAAGTTGTAATGAAGTTGTAATTTCTTTCTCAGTATGGTTTCAAAAATGCAAGATGGTAACGAAAGCAAGCGCGCTACAATTGATAAACTGAAAAAATTATACACTCAATAAAATGTTTTTTTTTTACAATTTTTAAGGTTATACTTCTGGACTAGACTTATGGAATGCTTCCGAACACGGAAGCTGTAGCATGAAAAAAGCGTACTGATAGTCATACTGGTCGGGCCGCAGTGTCGTGTGATATAGATTTTGAAAAGATTTGACATTTTGATTCAGTGGTACTGGGAAATTGAAGGTAGCTTCCATCATATAAGTCAAAGGCAAAATAGGCACAATACATGTAATACTTATTTCGTTTGCCAACGACTTACAGTCTTGAGGGCGAAGTGAGCCACAGATTTAAAAAGTGCTTCGGCCGAAACCTCATCTTAGAAGACGACTTGGAAAACCTAACTGCGTTAAAGAAATTGATGTGAAAATGTCTTGGTACACATTGTCTTTTGGTAGACGAGACTAAGGACAACGTAGAATATAAGTGAGAGAATAGCAAATGCCTAACAAAATGCGGAAAACTTAACTTTTGTTTGTTATTGAAATATATGACTTTTTACGTACTTAAACGTCGCTTTAAATCGCTTTAAACGTATTTACTTTTTTTTTTTTTGGCTCGTAGGTGATTTTTCATTAATGCGAATGTCGAGTGTTTTTACTGATCGGTAATTCTCACTAAACGATTATTACCGATCTCTTAGATGTATTTATAACAGAAATGAGCCATTTGTCCAGCAAAGCCCAACGAATTCACTTTATGGTTGTCATTTGTGGGTAGCGGTGACCCAACCTGTCGAGGTAACAAGAGGCATATAGAAAATTGCTTTGCAAATCACCAGCAGCTTATTAATTAATACAGATAAAAGTTTGATGAAAGTTTTGCTGAAAGCACACGGCTTCTAATAGCAGCGAAATTAAAGATCAAAAGTTGAAAGATATTAAGCACATAGCTGAAAAAATTGTAAACTACAAAAACAATACACATATCTCAAACACTTTTGGATGCGGCGAGCAGCCATTCGGCTTACGTGTTAGCAACAACCCTAATATAATCTAGCGTAGTTGCGCCCTTAGGCCAATCCACAATAGTAACAAAGTCTTATCGAAATTTACTTTTTAGAACGACAATAATCAACTCATCATTCATTAGAATCTCAATGAAGCATCTAGGACGTCTACACTATGACAATCAATAGTCGACCAATAGAGTTTTAGGATGGATTTTATTGTCGGAATAGTTAATGATGATTAGTCTTAAGCTCCAACGACATCTCAATCTAGCAGCCAATATCACACACTTCGCTCTCTAATACGAATTCAGTCAACTACAAAAAGTCAAATCTCTCAGAATGAAGTGCTTGGTATTCGGCAAAGACCTGCCTCAAGAACTTGGACACAACAGTTACATAAATCGCGATTTAATGCAGTTCAATAACTTTTAGTTCCTTTGTTTATTACCCCACATAAGGATAATGGATTAACTAAGCGTTTTTCTTTATTTTTAACAACGTTATCGCTGGGCTGAAAAACCGTATTACACGTTTTGTTGCCTAGCCAGAGACTGCCAAATAATAACCTTTTAGTTCTACTGGCCACACAAAGCGTTTTCACATACGTTGTCCAGGACGGCGTTCTTCAGTGACTCATCCATGCAGTAGGTGAACCGCTAGCGAAACCGTACACAATTACCGTAAGCCGCTAAAAGCCACAATGTGTTCTCTATAGTGTGATCCCATCCCCACAAACGCCGAAGGATCATTATAGTTCAATAGTAAGCCGTTTTTCTGAAAATAACACGTTAAGTGTAGCATTCACAGAAACATACAAAACATGGATTCCTTATACATATTATCAAATATTTTGAAGTATATTTTTCTAATAAATGTTACAAGCTTTCACGTTTTTTTTATAATAAGTTAACTGGAAAATACCCTTTCCTGGGTTACATTATCAATTTTCTTTGATATCTGTTGCGACTATAATATTTTCAGAGGTCGTTATTAATCTGTACCGCTCTACAACTCACTTGACCATATTAATAGTATTCTAGGTAGGCAGTGGTAGTGCTATTGACCACTTGTGATCACGAAACTACGAAAACTAACACTGACGTGCGATGTTATAGAGCATACACATATTTAATCTCAAAATAATCGTTATCCATCCTAGTTTACTACGAATATATATGATCGTTTGTGTCCAGATTGGTCGATAATTTGTTGTTCTAAAATGTGTACTCAACGAAAAAAGAAATTCTGCAAACAGGATTTTAGAGTAGATCATGAACCTTGCGTTGGTTGTCTCCAATGACGCGAGCAGGGTATTAAAAAAGCCAGGTTCTCTAGTGTATCCGTGGAACGTCCCAAATCGGGATAGCATACTTGCTAAATATTTATAATAGGGTTATAGGAAAGGATCACGAAACATGCGTTCGACAAACCTTTACCACTATGTCTAATATAGTTCACATTTAGAATGAAGGGACTAATTCTCAACCGCTTGTATTTCATGCTGTATGCGCATGTTTGTTTTTAGTATAAACACGTTCCATGGCAAATTTAAAAGCCCTACTTTTAGGCACAACACTTTAACCGATGATGATAATAAGTTGAAAGAATATATTACCCGGTAAGACTATTCAAGCTATCTTTACTTAGAATTGAATATAAATAAAAAAAAAGTCCAGTGTCTCCACCGGATCATCGACTTGGGCCTGAATTAATTAATTGGCGACAAAACAGCGATCCCCAATTTAGAGAACTGATGCCTTGTTAGCAGTTGACCGTTGGAGAATTTGAGTATTGGCTAAAAGCCAGCATACTGAAACATATCTGCAAAATCCATTTTTTGTATGAATGGGACGGTCTTTCGGAAATACATGCGATGTAGGTTGAAATCTAGTCGTTACGCATCATATCCTCTTATTACCTCAGTCTATAAAACGTTATAGGCAAACGTCCTTAGACCTCTTATACTTGAAACTCAATGAAAAACAGCGAATTCCTCAATTGGAAATTCATCCTACCAGTAAAAAAACGAAACTGAACTTTAATCTGGATAATACATAAGACACTGCACATGACATAAGATGGTAATATTATTTTACTCATCCTCAATGGATTTGATACGAAATTATATTTTTTCTGTATGTTTTACTGTAGTCAACAAACAAAGCACTTTTTCAGCACGATTGAAACCGAATGACTGCTTTAATATCTAATATTCATTGAACGAACTCCTTTATAGGAATTTAATTATTTTTGTATAACCAATAATGGTGTAGGGATTTATAACTATACTTAGATAGGAGTAAAATCAAACTAACCATAACATTTTAACATGGCATATACACAACAGCTTGTTGCTCAATATTAAAAAGTAGAAAAATGTGCCGAGAATATAAGAAGCCCTGCGACCCTGTGTTTCAGTTGTTTTTTTTAAATATTTTTTCGTTTAAAAGGTCATTAGAGCAATCCACAGAACAGACAACCTAAAAACAGAAACAATGTGAGTTTAGCTCTAATTACCGGGGACAATATACGTCCCTAATGAACAAAAGTCTGTCTTGACAGTCCGACTCGCTGTTTCGCCAAAAATATATCAAGAACGTTGAGTCTTAGAGGTAAAGATACATGCATGTCACGCTCCGATAAAGAGAATCATCAACAAGTTTCATTCAGCAGTGACAGTGTTCTACATAAATTGTGTACAGCTGGATGGCCCACACGTGCCCGAACTGGGGCCTTCAAGAATTCAAACACTCATCGACGCTCCCTATAATATCCTTCATCCATAAGTGCCTCGCTGCCCTGCATTTATCTGTCTCTAGTGTCTGAGTCTGAACCCTTAGCCAGGCCGCTCGGTGTACGCGACAACCAGCACATTAGGTAGGTAGGTCTAGCCATGCCGAGCCAGCATGCAATAAATCAAGGAAGGTTTTGAGCCTCTCTGTATGCGTGAACCGGCTTGACCCGAGCTGTTGGTGACTGTAGTTTCCTGGATGACATCACCCAAAAACCCGCTCGGTCGGCCGGCTGTTCCTGTAAGATGTCATTGTTGCCCAAGCTCAGGCAGGAGTCGGAGACGAAGGGAGGTTCAACGCAGAGCGGCCCAAAAGGCGGCCGCACTGCTGCTATCATAGGCGTAGCCAGCGCCGTTCTCCTCTGAACATCGCGCATCGACTCTTTCAGTCCTCACTAAGCAATGAAAAGGGTGTACGCCGTGTTACTGCAGGTTGCAATCAGAAGTCTAACTAAAATAACCAGATCTGAGCTGTGTGAGATGTAGTCGGGACTAAAACCAGTCTCTCTACTACCCTGCTAGTCGTGGTTTATGTGGTTTGGGTTCGAGAATTTTAGGGAGAAGTTGTTGGTTCTTGGCGAACACCGACTAGCGAGGGAGGGAGTGCCAACACAAAGGGGAGCACAGAATGTTCGAGCGAGAGGGCAGCGCGCTGGGGGGCGCTACTGTCGCCGAGCTAGACCTCGACGGAGGGCCAGTGGGACGACCTTTTTCTCATAGGCTTCGTTTGCGTGCACCAGCTACTCGGCTTCGTCGCCTCAATCAGCCAACCTTTATTAACCTGCGACAGAGGATCCCCGGCTTGAAGCCAGCAAGATGGGCAAGGCAAGTCAACACACAGTGCTTTACAATTGTAATAAAACGCCCGTTCACATGAAATTTGCGACAAAATGATATCATTCTCTTATTAGCTTTGAAGATGGCGATATTTTTCGTCGGCGCGGCTGTAGCCGGCAAATACAATGGGACTTCAGGATGGTCATTGGCTTCAAGATGGCGGGGTAGTCAGGACACAAATTGATGTCAGATCTTGTTTATACATGAATACAGTCTATAGAATTGCTTTGTTACAGAAATGCTAGTGAATCGGTTTATGTTCCTCGAAAAGCCTTCATTTTGATTTATCGAATTGTGGGTACAATTAGCTGTAAAATGTGCCGGCCACGTGGAGGACGTGACGTAAATCAAAATTCCCTACCATATCTTTTTATAGCTCTAATATAACAATATTATTATGGCCAGTGGTGTAATTCGCAAAGATTTATGTTGAAAAGCATGCTAACTACCCGAAAAATTTTAAGTGAATCGCCGTAATACCATTATAGACCGATGACCCTACTGCAGCCCTCCACGATCTCACAATGGCGGCGTCGTCTTCGTAATAAGGTTTCAACCGGCCAACGGACCAATACATTAAGCCGATTTAGCTAACCCTCGTTAGTAATAACACCCCAATTAGAATCTGGTTATCTTAAAAAAATCGCTATAGGGAGTACGGCCTTACGGTATACGATGTGTGCGAGTGTTAGAATAAATTTTTCATTGATGTGACTGGCTGTGATCAACAGGAAAAGGTTCACATTAACATCGTGGTGATCGGCCATGTCGACTCTGGGAAGTCGACAACAACTGGACATCTTATCTACAAGTGCGGTGGCATCGATAAGCGTACAATAGAGAAGTTCGAAAAAGAAGCCCAGGAGATGGGTAAAGGATCTTTCAAGTATGCCTGGGTATTGGATAAGCTGAAAGCCGAACGGGAGCGTGGTATTACCATTGACATCACACTGTGGAAATTTGAAACACCTAAATACTACGTGACTGTAATTGACGCCCCTGGCCATCGTGATTTCATTAAGAACATGATCACGGGTACTTCGCAGGCAGACTGCGCTATCCTCATATGTCCGGCTGGCACCGGTGAATTCGAGGCCGGAATCTCAAAGAACGGCCAAACTCGTGAGCATGCCCTACTTGCTTACACGCTCGGAGTCAAGCAATTGATTGTCGGCGTGAACAAGATGGACACATCTGAACCCCCCTACTCAGAAGCTCGCTTCGAGGAGATCAAGAAAGAGGTGTCCCTGTACATTAAGAAGATTGGCTACAACCCTGCTACTGTGCCGTTTGTCCCCATCTCAGGTTGGTGTGGTGACAATATGCTTGAAAGCTCGCCCAATATGCCCTGGTACAAAGGGTGGTCGATTGAGCGCAAGGGTGCCACGTTTGAGGGCAAAACCCTTCTTCAGGCGCTCGACGTCATGGAGCCACCCACTAGGCCCACAGATAAACCCCTGCGTCTTCCCTTGCAGGATGTCTATAAGATTGGAGGTATTGGTACAGTGCCTGTAGGCAGAGTCGAGACCGGCATAATCAAGCCTGGGATGGTGGTCACCTTTGCCCCGGCCAACATAACCACTGAAGTGAAGTCCGTCGAGATGCACCATGAATCGTTACCTGAGGCTGTGCCCGGTGATAACGTAGGCTTCAACGTGAAGAACGTCTCCGTTAAGGAACTGAAAAGAGGCTATGTATGCGGTGACTCCAAGGACCACCCCCCCAAGGAAACAGAGGAGTTTGCTGCTCAGGTAACTTCTCTACGTATGAATCTGCCTCAATACTTTACGCAAGCTGATATTCTCAGCTGCTGGCAAGATGTTCACGTTCAGTTTAGTTCCAAAGCATTTATGTTATACAATATGCCCACTTATGACTACACTCGTAGAACTACAAGTTGTCGCTAGATTTCTTTAATCATAAAAATATTGACACCATATTGTTGGACACTACATGTGCATAGGTGTATACATGTGCATAGAAAATCCTAACAGCAACATCGCTGCTCTTTCGTACGCAAGTAATTTGTTTCTGTTCTATGTATGTCTTATTTCTTATCTAGGTTATCGTCCTGAATCACCCCGGTCAGATCCAAAACGGTTACTCGCCTGTTCTCGACTGCCACACTGCCCATATCGCCTGTCGCTTCAAGGAGATTAAAGAGAAGATTGACCGTCGTTCTGGCAAAAAGCTTGAGGATAATCCTAAGTTCGTCAAGTCGGGTGATGCCGCCATTGTCGATCTTGTTCCTCAGAAGCCAATGTGCGTTGAGACTTTCACGGAGTTCCCACCTTTGGGTCGCTTTGCCGTTCGTGATATGCGACAGACCGTGGCAGTCGGTGTAATCAAATCCGTGAAGACCAAAGAGGTAACCCACGGTAAAGTGACTAAGGCTGCTGAGAAAGCCGCCAAGAAGAAGTAACTAGCACGTCGGGTCACCGCCGCTAAACGCCGTCACAATGAAACGACGACGAAAAAGCGGATTTCAAAGGGGTGGGGTCGGCTGCAGCAAAAGTTTGGTCTGCGCCGAAGCCGTCCGGGCTTTGCGCCCGTCATAAACAACAGCGTGCACATCAACAATAGTAGATCGACCATTAACAAGACGACGCACATCATCGGCCGTCCTACGAAATTCATCAATCCAGCAAAAGATGTTTTTATTATCGTTTGCGACGACAGTGCGCTGAGATGCGCCCGGTGGCCAAGTCAGAGATTGCAATGTCTGTATTTGTATCTGTATCATGTTTTAACTACTCGTCAGGTATCCACTGGTTCGACGGCAGCTGCTCGGTGTGAAGTCGAGCAGCAGCAAGGGGCCGGGGAGTCGGGAGGCAAGCTCATCGGGCTGTGGCTGAGGGCACGATTCGTGCGACGCTCCCGTTCTAGTCACCGAAAGGAACACCAGCGGATAGGACAGCAAAAGCAGCGGACAAGGCCCAAAGCAACAGAGCTAGCATCATAACTACAACAGAGAATATCGTTATCATTCATTAAGAACAATAATCCTTCGCTTTGGAGGCAAAAGCAGACGTTAATTAAAAAAGGCCGGGTAAACAGCGGCTGGCGGATGAATGCTTTCCCTGGTAGCGAGAATCCCAAGAGTGGCCTGCTACGGCGCGTAGGCATGTCGGCCCGACTCCGATCTGCCCACCAAAATATTCCAACCTATTTGTTTGTAAGAAACCATGACAACATTAATAATTATGATTAAAAAACGTAATGATGAAATGACATATACATAAACAGCAGTAAGTAATATATGGCAGAGCAAACAACAAAACTATAGTCGATCAATAAATCATCAACAAATTGTAACACTACCGATACCCAACGTATATCGGGTTCTCTTTATTATTATGGTAATCTATTACAGCCACATCGACCATAATCGTGCTCGAAATAACATGTGCAAGTGGACATTTATATTCATATATATTTAGCGTATCCTTTAAATAAAGTTGCAGGTAAGATACTAGTTCTACTACAGTTATTCAACTACATACGTATATTGACATATATGGGTGATAGATAATATATATATATATTGTCGCGCTCATTCATTAGTTAAAAAAATAGCATTTTGTTAATGCGAAATTTTTCTGCGTAAGGAAATTGTTGTACACAAAATCAAACCGTAACTACATAAATTTCCAAAAATCTAATCTATTTTAAGAAATTGTCTTAGAAACAGTTTTTGCACCTTTTACCAATCCAGTCATACGTAACTGAATAAGGTCCACTTAATTTTTATTTCTAAATATTATATCAAACCGGGTGTCATGCACGAGCAGCTAGAATGCTGATTGACATGGCGTATAATTCCACTTAAACGTCGATGAAGGAATGTCAAAACTAAAATGAATTGGTAGTTCTCTGAAAACAGATAAAGATGCAAAATAAAGTGAGGTCTCGATCGCTGCGGGCATATACTACATATTTACACACTTTTCCCGTAAACAAAACTACGGTTTACTATATCTTAGTTTGATAGATATGGCTAAGTCTGATAATTAATTGGTCGATACGAGTCAGTGATGCCGGACATGCTTGTTGATTCCGGGCAGATGGGTACTCAACTGGCTTCAGCAAGAAGATGCCAACGGAGACTATCGGGCTGTACGCAGTAGTTAGGTAACCAGAAAAAAGCTGAGCTTTAAACAGAATCCGCTGACCGCTTAAACATACTCAAAATCATACATGACGCTTGCGTGACCGATAGAAAAGCATTCGTAGTTCGTTGATACTGGTGTTTGAGAATAGAAATTACCTGCTAATTTAAAGAAAAAGGGTGACCTCATATAGCTAAAATAATAATATTTCAAGTACGAAATTGCGAAAACCTACGTTGTAAGTGAGTTTCTTCCGACAGGTAAGATTACTATTAAAAGCAATATATTCCGCAAAAAGCTCCTTTGCATTTCTATTATTATCTCACGATAATAATAGAAATCTGCTCCATCATTCTGTTTCTGCAATGAAAGAAGTAAATGTTTTAAAAACTACTCTGTACACAATTTAGAATTCTAGCCTCTGGCTTACACTTTTCAGATTTTCACATAATGTTTACAATAGGATAAGGTGTAGCAGGCGTGGTAGCTTTAGATTGTGACCATCTAACTTAGATAAAAGAATTAGTTTTGTTGTTTAGGGAGATGATAATACTCACTGGATACCTATAGCGCTGATGAAAGGATTAGCAAAAAGATCACGGAACCTTATGTGGGTTTTTTTTTATCTGAATGCATTTATTAATTATTATGATTATTTTTTCTTTTGATATGTCTGTGAAAAGCACGCAGTGCAAGCAATGTAATACTTGACTGAGAGACAGAGGAATTAAGCCCTCACTTCTGGTTCCTTATGATCGGTTGCAATTAAGGGAGAGCGGTAAGAGATATATTTCTTTTCTAAAATTAAAAAAAGGATATTTTGAGCTAGTGCCTTCAGAAATCTTCAAACAGGAATTTCTACATAACTTTAGATTTCGTATGTATATTGCCTTTTATCTGTAAACATCGTTCGACTTCAAAGCTTCATATACAATGCGCTTCATAAAGAATTCTATGAAGGAAATGCAGTTTTTTCCTCTAGGGGACTAACAATTTCTTATTATTAATACAGAACATATATATGATTCCGTAGAAACGCCGTTGTTGATACGCTAATGAGCTTGTGCGATACATTGTGGTAATCCTCGTGTTGAAGTTATATCAGAAACAGACGGTGAATATGATTCAAAACGTTATTCATGAGCTTACGGGTTTACATCCCTTCCAATTCTCTGACGAATATTTGCCAGCACAACGCAGTCATGCTGAGAACTTCCGGTTCCCTTGATGTTTGAATGCTGGCAGATATAATACCCACGTTGGATTTAACCAACAATTTTTACGTTTTTCAAATTCTCTTACGACTCTATTGTCTTCAAGGCATGTCAATAAGGCGCCATAAACTGATGGAGGGTATCTGTCTATAAGCATTTACAGCAGAAAAAGATAACTTTCGATTCCCGCTCAAATTATCATACTTATGTAAATCTTTATTTTTTTTTTAATTTTTTAATAGGGTCGAATGGCCTAAACAAACAACTAATGAAAAGTATTTCCGACGAATGTGTTACAGAAGAAAGCAAGTGTTGATGGATAACGGTATTATATTGCCATTGCTCAAAGCTTAATGGATACCACATACACTTCCCGACTGGATATTTACGATAATATATAAGAAACATCTAAACCAAGAATAAGTCAACATAAGTAGCTTCATATGGTGTGAGACCAAAAATGTTTGCTTATATTTTAGCGTTAATCACCACACGCGCATGATCAGCTTAGCGCGCTAACTTTTTTTTCATTCGTATGCCAGGTTTCAATAAAATGAGGGAGTTCTTAAACTGCAATGATTAATTTGATTTGCTTGATTCCCAGACAACGTTCGCTATTTCCTTATTCAAATTCACTTATAGGACGAGATAATTTATAATGCGGATTTTGAAACGAGCGTCCTAGAGTCCGCGTGAAGTAAATGGCGAGGCTACTTATTATAAATTATGAAAGAGGCTCGTTGGTCTCATAGACGTTTGGATTTTGGCGCGTCGCGCCTCTAATTGTTTTGAGTTAGAAATTATCTTGCATTTGATATCCTACACTGATAATGCCTTACGTTAACATCAATGTTCTGATTGCCATCGGGTATATTAAATAATGAATTTTTGTGCTAACTGATTATGAGAATTTTACAGTTTTAGTCCTTCGATACATATGAAGATTTTGTTTGAATTATTCATAAACCAGAAACAAAATGAAACACCTATGCTTACGGGCTTCAACGATTGGACATCTATTTACCTGACAATGTAAAAAAAGTACACGTTTTATGCGAATCTTTTCACCTTATCTTGCGCTTTCCTAATGGTTTAGAGATTTGCTACGTAAATATACAAACAATTAATCAACGTGATAATTGATTAAATTGATGTGAAGGGCGATGGTACACATGGAATTGCTATCGATGGCACTAAAAGATCCATCCTGGCAAACCTCTATTTGGTTTCTTGTCAATAGGTACTTTTTCTGACAGATATTTAACTTCTTAACATTGCATTGTCTTGGTATTGCCTTTTAATGGTGAAGATTCACTTAAGCTTTTGCATAAAATTTTGAAAATCTTGAGAACTTTCATTGAAATTTTTCAATAAAAATATACATTTGTTGACACTCTAGACTAATCTAGTCTGATTATTTCTAGCAATACCCTTAATTTAACGCAGCTAGTTCCATCTTATAATACAAAAGACAAGTTTCAACCAAGCTAACTTATTAATGCTTATATCACATACATTTTAAAGGTTATGTCCAGAAAACAGTCCGAATACCCAAGCAAGTTGTATTTCGACATAACCAGAAGTGCATCCGAGCAACTAGAAGTGCCTCAAAATTGTATGTCAATGCCTAAATACACGACCACATAGTGGCTGCCTATGGTGGCCATCACTTGAGTAGTGAAATAACTTCAAACAAACAGCACGATCACAAAATCAATACAGAATAAATAAAGTTAGGTCTTTAACCTGTTTTTTTTTATTTACGACTCGGAGTAAATTGCTAGAACATTCTGCTTATTATTTATATATGTAACATAGTTCAGCTGTGTATTGTCGCAAGCGTATGAGCATGTGTTCTAATAGACTCTTTCCTTCGATGTTTTACCTTAGTAGCTATGGATAACACATTGAGTTTATTATTCGAGAATACTTGCAACTGTAGACAGCATTTTATTTCTTGACTAGTTGAACCACATCTTCATTATGTACAATATGGTTCAGTCCCACTCGTTGCGGTGAATACTTCGTACTTGTACCCTGGAATAATAGGTATGTATTTATGCTTGGTTCAACCATTCAGTATGATACTGGCAATCCATATGCTACTCAAATATATAACTGCCTAAAAACGATAGCCGCATAAGAATGCTGATCATTTCATCAAAGCTATTCATAGATACATTGTTTTAGATGTTTTTCTAGCTTGTAAATAAATGAAACACTCTAACAGGCTATTGAAATCGAGCCAGAAGAGCCTTCTGTAAGATTTTCTGCTTTTTGTAGATGAAAATATATATACTTACCCAGACTAGTGCGTATTTAAATTCGTTGACAAAGTTCCTGTGCACAGAGTGACATACATGTTCGATAGATGCGTTTCGACGTAAAATAATGCCATCATTCAAATCCGGGGGTGTGCCGCGTTTTTTTGTGTAAATACTAATCAGCGCCAACTTTTCCCAGATGCGCTCCTTTAAATAGTCCAAATTGAGCTTCCAGTGACAACTGCGGGTTGTTTGGACACAGAGTTAGTTTAGCTCCAAAGAAAACTTTATCTTATGCTTCTTAATAAAAACGTATTGAAATTAGGGTTTTATACAAGACGATGATCAAAATGCCTACTAAAGCTGATATAAAATGTTTCTCACCTCACTACCACCGAATCAGGTTGCCGCGCTAACCGATCGACCTCTTCAAGCGATACCTGAAGTCAAGAAATATTATTTTGCTTTCTGTATGAATGTCTGCGGGATCAAACAGCTAATACTCGTTTTTTAAAATCTGAAAAATCCTTTATTACACCCTCTATTTACAGATGAATGGCATGTCATATGAAGTTCCTAATATTATATATTCTCTATTTCTCTGATCCTATTCGGCGGGAGCATTCTCAAGTAACATGATGTGACAATTAAAATACGCAGCTATCTGTGATTTTCAAAAAAAGTAAATGTAAAATTCGTTTAAGCAGACCCATAAATCAAAGCTCCATCAAGTTTTAGTAGGATTCAGTAGGCACCCTGATGCAATAGTCCTTCTTCCAAGTACAGATCTGACACCAAAAAATATAGCGGACCTGATCAATTTTGTTGTACACGTAGAGGCAAGGAAGATAGACACGGTTTCCTTGGATCACGTCAATCAAGTCGTCGGCTGTTGCATCTTCGCGAAAAAGGACCTACAAAATATAAAAGGCAAATGTACATTTTATCAGTCATTATACGGAAGTCTGAATGGATAAATTGTACATCTGTAAAGTAATACCATCTATGTATAATTATATATAGATAAATTAATAAAGATGCTCTATAAACGAATTGTTCCTCAAAAATATACCTCAGCATTGAAGATTTTGTACTCATGCAAAATGGTCTGCACAAGCTTATCATCACATTTAGTCAGCGTACACGTCGAATTGATCGAGAGGCCACCGCCTTTCTTTTCCTATAAGAACTCACATCAGGAACACCGCACAAGCTTTGCATTAATAATTCTATACTATAATTAAATCAACAATTACCAATATGTCTTCTGGGCCTAATATTGGACGGCATAAGATATCGCGTTAGTGTTTTACTGGTATCGACTCCAGCTTAACTTGACCTACTATAAGTAAAGACAAAAGATCCGAATAAGCAATCCAAATTATTTTTAACGGCATTCAAAAGAAACAATTTATACCTGTTGTGCCAGAAGACTGATATAATTTCAACAAAGTGCATACATCAGTATATTCCGCATTGAAGCCGTGTAGCGAATAGGAGAGTAACCGCTTTTGTTGTGACCGAGTGAGTCTACGTACCTTGAAATAGATGTTGGGTTTTTGCTTGTTGAGACGAATGCCAACTGCTTCGAGTTCAGCCTCTAGAAGTTGCCGATGTATCTCTGCCTTGGTAGCATCGAGCATAATAATAACCAAATCCGCTGTGCGAGCCACCGCAATCACCTTATTTTATCATTAGTGTATTTTAATAAAACAAATTCCTCTAACATTGGTATATTTGTGTAGATATACCTTTGTAAAAATAGGATTCTATAAGTAAAAGTTGTAAAGAGCTTGTGTGTTCGTGGCAACAGCCAAAGGGTATGGCCGCTCTGGAAAGACTATGGAAAGCCAACTTCAACAGCGAAATAAAAATGCTGTATATATATCTTCTAATTAAAGACATTTGGGGGAAGGAAATTTAACAAAAATTAGAATATTGGTGAAATCGTTTAAAATCACATAAATTTATTTCCTGTACCTAAGGCATTAGGCTATATATCAGATCGCCCTTGCTAGATTGAACTGAGTTTTTCTCTAACATACCTATAAAAAGCATATGAATATGTATATATATATATATATAGCACAATCTTTCATCTCCATTTGCATTTTTGTTATTCACCGAGGTAGTGTCGCATGAAGGATTAATAGACCGAACTTTGTCGTGAATCTCTCTTCTGGGGCTTAATGGATAAAGCCCCTTCCGTTCAAGGCGTCATATAATGAAAATCTTACATGAATCAATCAGCATCTGCCTCACCTGTCGACCTCTCCCTTTTCCCTGAGAGGCTCCTTCGATAATACCAGGAAGATCAAGCAGTTGAATTTCGGCATCGTTGTACTGTCACAGATTAAAATAGACGTATCATGGAGACAAAAACAAAGTTAAGAACAAATTATAGTAGGCCCACAGTCCGGTAATAATTGTTTCACTTTTATCATGTTACGCTGATAGAGTTGACGTTCGCTATCTTGTACTCATGGTTACTACAAACTAGTAGATATAGTTCGTATTTCCGTCGGTAACAAGCTCTAAATTACTAATATAATCAATTTAATTTATTGACCCTACGCGAGAAATATGACTAAACGTATATCAGAGTATGCAATAACGCATTTGTAGCCGATGCAAATACCTTTATAACGCCAGGGATGCAGGTCAAGGTTGTGAACTCGTAACTGGCACATTCACTCTTTGTCTCGGTGATTGTAGACAGAAGTGTTGATTTGCCTAGAACCGTTACAGAATTAAAGATGGATCACTTTAAAAAGTTCCTCGAAAAAATGGAAAATGTCTTGGAAAGGCCCACTAGATACTTCGAAATTAGCAGTAATACGTATACTTATATGTATCTCTCCGCGTGATCAAAATGAAATCTCCACATTTACATCCTAGCTGAACTACGATACTTTTAATAGTTACATATTTTAAATCGTACATATATTTCTATCAAGCATTATATTTTAAAACGAGGTTTTTATATGACGAGAAGTTTTGTCGACTCACCAACGGACGGAAATCCAATGAGAGCAACGCGCGCATCGCCACTTTTCATCACGTCGAAGCCTTCACCTTTTTCGCTCTTTGTCTTGTTTCCTTCAATGAGCTGCGTCCGATATTTTGCCAATTTCGCCTTCAGAAGACCCAAGTGATACTCGGTAGCTGTAATCCATTCAATATTAGTAAGCCAATCTATGAAGCTCAACCCAAAGTAATGAATCTTCGAAATTAGCACCGTATTTAACGGCAAAAAGGTCGATGACAAATTTGTCTTGCCAAACGAATATTCCTTATTGCTGTATGTTTTAATAAACCAATATTAGCAATTCTATAGAATTCAGTAACTAAATACTAAGAATATCATGCTTGCAATGCTTCTGTGCACAATAAAGACAGTATTACAAAATCATCTACAACTAAGTGCAGTCGCCAACAATATCGATTTTCTGAATACATCTGTGAATTTTAAATATATATGCTACACAAACATTGCCCCTTCTAGAAACAACTACCCCTTTATATAAATAAAAGTGTTATTTAAGTCAACCCATTATTAATTATAACTTGGATTCATGTTTGTTCCAAGATAATACGACATTTTTCATAACCGCTCAAGACCCAAACGTGTATTTCGTTGCTATTGAAATTAAATTTGCTATTTGTGTTCCATGGAAGCTACATGGCAGGTAAAAACTGTCTTCATTTTTTGATTTCCTAGGAAAAATCAGGTGAGATTCCTTTCGCGACTGCCCGTGTCATGTATGCCATATGCTGACATACATCACCATACTTGTTATCCGAAAGCAACATGTCTTTTTCATCTCCCCATTATGCTGTGACAAATTAATATTATTGCTTTGGTAATCTACCTTTGTTCTTCTGGGTTCGTGCAACCTCACGCTCAATTTCGGCGATTTTCTCCAAGATTCCCATTCCGGAGGAATCTAGCACTTACGCCGCTACACGTTAAAAAAATCGTGGAATTGTAAATGTAATTTAAAAGTATTTCAGCACAGCTGTGACAGATACGCACGATCACAAAGATACATAGATAATTAGACCACAAATGGGACTCGCAGTCAACGGGCTGATTCTAAGGCTTCCGAGCGTGGCGATGTTTTGAGCACTAGATACAGAATCTATTCCAAACGTCCGTGAGTAAAAGCCTGTCACAGATCAAGCAAAACCGGCTCGACAGTGAAAAGCGGGCAATTTTATAGATTTCGATGTCAATAATTTAAAAAATTTCAAAATGTTCATTTAATGATTTATAAAGTAGATTATTTTGTTTGAGTAAAAACTATTGGTGATTAAGTTCACTAGAAGCTCTCTAAAGATATACAACATGAGTTGCTTCTTAGTACAAGGAAAACCCGAAAGAATAAATATAATTATCTTTGAACCTATTTAATTGTTGTATAAAATTTTATGTCTGTGTAACATAGGTAAAAAAAAAAAGTCATTCAACGAAAAAAGTGAAAACATATGATTAAGCTCGCTATAGCATTTTTAGTTCAACACATCTTTTTGGGAGGGTTTCGGCGTACAAGTACTTTAGGTCATATTGTGAAGACATGCAGGCAAATACACAATGACACTTCTTAGCTAACTAATATATTAATAGATAAATTTATTTGGATATTAATGTTACGACGCACGGACGTAAAAGCTCTCAGTCTATTGTACTGATTTGCCAAAGAGGTGATGTATTTGATTTGCACGTTAGGCACGATGGGTCTCAAATCGCTCCTGCTGGTAATTCACGAAAAAGTGTATCGCGCAGACCCCACCGGACCTCAGTGTTACAGTGATGTTAACATTATTATGCGTAAGTTCTTCTTCTTAGTTTCTCATGTTTTTCCTAGATCATACCTTTAATGATAGTTATAATGGGCTATTGCATGTATTACATGACTGTAAATTAGCTTATCAATTTAAAAAACTGCGAAAAAGTACGAAAAATTGCGCTAACTACTTCCCTGGTTTGAGTGCTGGGTTTATGAATATATATATACACCTTTTGAAACATCGGATCAATATATGTCTGAAACTCTTTTCCAGACATATATTGATCTATTGCTGACGGTTTTTGACAAATTTGCCAGAAAGCTTCGAATCACGTGGTACTATGAAGTAAAAACCTAGTCTTACATTGTTTTCTCGCGACGCATTTAAAAGAGTTTACATGGTATATTCATCCTAAGTCTTTTCGTAGATTCCCGCTGACGCCAGAGACTAATACAGATACAGTGATCAGTTCTCAAAGATATTTAATAAGCTGACATTAAAGAAGGAGACCGAAGTGACTTCTATTTTATACCACAAAAGGCACTTATGCTCATTTTAAACATTTTTACATACTCATTACTAAACCAACAAATAGGCGGAGCCAGTTTTTGAATATTTTGCATTTCATATTAGTCATTTGATCAAATATTCCAGTAAAAAAGGCTTGGGTATTGACTAGGTAGGAATAGCGCCAGTGGCAAGAAGTCCAGATTTGGTTTAATATGAGAATTTAAATGCCTCATAAGGCTGCATTCAACCACTTGCACGGTACTCTCATTTAGATATCATAAACGAAAACTCTTTTCGTATCATGCTTGTGCAGACCTTTTTTGTGGGCGCTATCGGCAAGAGGGTGAAAAACCAAAAACTTTCTTCCTCGGTTTCAATATACTTAATGCGAAGCAATTCACGACATTTGCTTTAACAGAGAGTAATTAAATTATAGTGGCAATTGTCTTATGACAGTAACTTCAATTTTTTTTTGTTTTAGCATCCATTAGTTAATCCATTAATTAATAATTCCATCCAATTATAGTTATTTCTCTTCTGAAGCGAATGCTTGTCCACATTATTGTTATTAGTAGCGCATGCTTGCAAATTTAGATTAAGCGCATAAATGTGTAAATACTAGCTGCGTTGTATCTATTATAAACAGGAATAGGGCAAAAAATGTCAATGGACAAGTTTATTATTAATTCAATTTAATGCGTGTATTATTCAGATGGTCATCTATGCCGCATGTCGAACTATCCTGACTTCAAAGTACACGATGCGCCCGTCCTCTACCGAAAACTTTCTTGACTAAGTGTCATCAATGCAAATTGGCAAAATTAGTGGCAAAATGGAAAACTATTACTTTGGGACATATTGTAGTTGCCCGGAGCACCACTAGTAGGCGCCACAGTCGGAGTTTCAATCGTAGGCTAAGCGGTTAGACTAGCTAGGTTCTCGTTGCTTGAACCCGTTTTGCACGAACTACCACTGACCGTTTGTTGGGTTCCTGGTGTCTCTTTTCTCTACCGGCTGGGGCTAAATGCGAAACTAGAGGGGCGAGCTAGACTAAGCCCTGCAGTTCGCGCCTTAGCTACTACCCACTGTGTAAATTTGTTCACAAAGCCGCCTTTGTAACGAAGTGCCACAGAGGAACGAGCGTTTGTGCTAAGTGCGGGCAATAAGTATGGGCTCTATTAGACGGTAAGAAGAGTATACTATCTTGAACAAGTAAAATAACTCGAAATGCTTAGCAATATTACATTATTTCGCCTTGACAAAATGTGCATAGATGATGGAAACCTATGTGAGGTTTGATAAAAGTTCAGGGATGAAGTGAAGTTCTGTAATGCGCGGTTCATACAATAAACCGATCTGCCATTCCTGCCAAGCAGACTATCAACGTGATTGTGCCCCACGAAGTGGAAAGAGAGCATGCTGCTTAGTAGACAGTGGATAGCAGAATAACACACTGGTCCCTGTGTACACACGCGAAGCTGCAACGCAAACCCAAAAAATGCTGAAGACCGATTGCTTTGAGAAGTAGAGCAGCGAGCAGAACCCCAACAGTGGAAGTACACTGGCATAAGCAGAAGCCGCTGGTTGTAGTGTGCAGGCGTCGTCTGGTGTACATTTGCTACGAGGCTGAGTGTTATGCGTAGAGGCGAACGACAAAGTTGACTATATGGACCCTGCTCGCAATAAACAAAGTTGTTCCATCGACTCAAGATACGATAAGGTTCTTGACTAAGTATATCAAAGCTGATAAGTTGTGTGGGTTTTACTAAAGAACGTTACGGAACAAGAAATTTGTTTAATGTGCATCTACTGGATTTAGGATCGCTGTCGGTTCCTATCATCTTTGTTGACTGGATATGCTAGTAATCGACTTGCAGTGCTTTGAGCGAAAGCCGAGCATATATATATCGGATTATACTGCGAACGACGTTTAATGCACACGTAAAAAACGTATTTTTTTTTATCTGTTTCACTGGATAGTACATATTGATTTGGGCATTTGTTTACGTTTATTGTTTGTATTTGTGGACTGGCGCCGCTGTCAATCGATAGGGTGGTATTTGCGCTTATTGGGACGTGAGTGCCGTTAAAAGTGACAGTAGTGAATTTGTTCGAACATGTGTTGTTACTGAAACCTGCGGAAGAGCAATAAGATTACTATTTCAGTGCAACTAAGGTATGTGAGACTATTATGGTAGAATCTGTACGCACAATTAGTGTGCGTTGATGTTTTGGCTCCGTGCCTGCTTCCTAGAAATGAAAGTTTAACTGTCTCTTCAGACTTTACGTAATGTTTTGACGTTTGTTTTATCTTACAGGGAAAAGAAGAAAAAAAAAAGACTTCACCTGTCCTAGGACAGCGTTCTACCAAAATCACAAGTTAAATGATGTGAGGACTGGAGGGTGTGCAATAATTGCTAATCGTCAACTGCCTTCCCTCAACCCCGCCCAGTTTTGCTCGAGCGTGTTTCAGACGGGTTCTCCCTGAGGTATCACTGGTGATTTCGCATCGATTTCTCTTATTAAAAGCTGGAGTGGACCGTATTTAAAAAAGCAGCACATTTTTACGTATCGTGACTCAACTTGAAGTTAATTGTTGGACCAAGCATTTTAAGGGGACAGTGAGATATTCAAAGCGAATGATTCGTTACAAATATGATGGAATGCTACGTACACGTGTTGTAGGTGTAAGCGACAGTATGCCTTGTTTGGCAATAACTGATTATACGTATACAATATAATAATTCAGCTTTTTCTTTCGAGTCGGCAACTCCCATACGAACGTTGATATGGCAAATTATTTTCTAACATTGAACATTTATCGATAGGAAATTGGTGTTGTCCTATTACATTTTAGCTACTTAGGTCGCTTGAGCACGTCTCAGCACAAGATCATAGTTGAATATCGTTCATTGATTTGCTCATAGACAGTCAGTTCGTAGTGCAGCATATCGATACGTCCGCGAAAAAATCAAGGTGTTTTTAAGCCCACTGAGTAGAGATTCAGGTGTTTTCAGATCGCATAAAGTGCAGCAGCTTTGCACAAGGTGATTACTCTTTTACTGAATAGAAGCCCGCCCTGAATTAACGTCTATGGTTGTAACTGTGATTGTCTATGTGGCGCTATTGTATTCGCGGCCAATAGTTGAGTTCGTAGTTGTTGCCTATGCAGCTGCGACAAAAGCCACGATGGTCAGCGGTGTAACAGCTGGGCAAGCGGACGGCAAATTGGCCAGTGGGTCGCCTGCTTTTTAGACTCTTGGGACTGAACATTACCAGTAGCCTGTCTGTGCTGTGTGTAGGTACTGTCAGTGATGACGCCTAATGTTCATCGTCGTACGTGGAGTGCAAACAATGACGGCGGCGATGGCGGAATGATCAGCATATGGTTACTTTGCAGGTGGCGACAGAAATCAGTGGGTTGACGCAAGGATTCGATTTGTGTGCTACGTTTGTCTTGGGCATCGGTTAGTTCGCCACCGGTTTGCCAAGAAGCAGTGATTAGTTGCGACATTGGCCGCACGGCCATATCGTGTGGCTTCAGAGAAGACGGCTGTTGTACGAAAGCGGCGGCCGTGTCTCACGATTCTTCCCGCTTAAGAAATGACTGACACAAAGCAAACGCATTTAGATACAAGTTTTATGAGAGCACCGAATGAAGTAAAGGGCAAAGGATTTCTTTTGCTAAGAAAATTTTTTGCAAATATTATTTTCAGTCGTCCTTTTCGATGTTGGGGCGCTAGTTGGTTCTTTTTGATGACGCACCCATTTCATATTCACTTTATTCATCACTAATAAACACAATCGGCGCGTGTTTTTATTGCGCAACGATGTTGCAATTAAGTCATATTTAGCGAATGCTGGATTTTATAACAATAACGTATGTAGAATACACGTTCATGTTTGGCCAGAAATATTCGATCCGAATAACAAGGTCTGTTGCGTCTATCTTGCCACTGGCGTAGTAGTACCTGTTGCCTCGATATCTACTTAAGAGTCTGGCAGTTTTTCTAGTGATCTGATAAAAAAATGATACAATTTTCCATTTTGACATAGATCATCTAAATTCTAAGGACGTGAACAGTGTAACTTGATTTGAAATAATAAAACTAGTCCCACGTATTGATTTATTATAGCGCGATACGTGCTTCATCATTATTTGATTAACTATGATAGTTACTGTAACTAAGTTTGGGTTATGCATTTGTAGGCCTTGTTCGACTGTGTCGACCGAGACTGAGAGGTTCGGAGTCGCCCCGTTATCAGAGCCGTTTAGCTACGTAGACACGTAACCAGAAATTGATTCTAGTAACTAATTGGTCAGAAGTGTCATGTCATCGGTCGAAACACTTGCAGTAACTATTCGATCGGGCTGGACGTCTAAATCCGGACTATTCCTTAGCTGTTTCTAGATCTGTTATGTAAAGAAAAACAAACAATACTTCAACAAAACTCCTTACATGTACTACTTGTACCATTCCTGATGATTATATTTATGTCAAAGCCGCTATTTACCTTTATTACATAGTCTTCTATTAGAGACCTAAACCATTAACTAGCCACAAAGAATTTCTCCTTTGTTCTGCGAGTAGCTCTTTGTCAAGAGATTTTGGTAAGTGTAAACTCGTTAAAACGATGTTTTAGTAACTACGTACAAGAGATCCCAGTGAGGTTAAATTTTGGGCTGGAAGCGCTCCGAATAGCCCAAAATACAAAAGTCAAAAACCGTCGAAAAATTCAAAAAAAGGCGCAAAAAGTCACAACAAGGTTAATTGTCGGAGCTTATCCGGACGATCCAGTCGACAATTAATATTCTGTTGTCTTTTCAGACGATTGTTATTTTTTTTAATCATACTAAAAATGGCTCTTCAACCGTTTTAATAAATTTTTGAGCACTTTGCGACAATAACGAAGATCATCGATTTTAGGGTAAAGAAAGCAGTATGCGTGAAGATGATATAATAAGTAACATTCGAAAACTACGCACTGTTTTCCGCCATGATGAGTGCATCATAAACAAGAGATGGGTGCATACCTGCTACAACAAACATTCTGCCAAAATCTATGGGAATTTCAATGCTCCATCTTTTGTGCAGACAATGTTCTATGACTTCTCCCACAGCATGTATATGTTGGAACACTTAAAAGGTTTGCACAGAGGGGGGTAAAAACGCAGCTTTTCTTGCAAAAAGAACCATAGCAATGTCTTGAGGTACAGAAGTACGTATGTATGCACACACATTGTATTTGGGGCCGATACATTGATTGAGCGTCATTGCGTGCATATTAAAGGCGTAGATATAGAGTACGAAATTTAACACGGTGTGCTCAGGTCCTTAAACGTGGAACTTGTCGCCGGTTTAAGGAGCTAAGGGAAAGCGTTCGTTACTTGAAGCATCTGATTATTATTTCTGGTTATTGTGTTGTTGGAACAGACTTGCTGGATCGTGTTGCCTTTACCAAAGCAGGATCTAGAGTGACTTGTTGTGATCCAGAGTGACCTAAAAAAGACTCAGATTTGAGATTTGACGCTGTGCGTCGGCTTGCGCAGGTCCTACAAACGGAATATCCATATTATGATTATCGATAGTGCAGCTTTTATTAAGCTCTGTACTATATATTGTAAATAACGATTGTTTTAATAATAACGATCGCATATAATAGCCCAGTTAGCGAAATGTAATACTAAAAATTCAAGCGTCATAAACGAATACGCAGTAGCTATTTTATCACTGGTCAGTATAAAGGATTTATTCATTTCGGATACCTTCACAGCAGTTTTCAATATGACATAGAGCCTTGAACCAATGCTAAACGACCCCTTAGGATTGCCTTATTAGAATTAGTTTGCAAAGAGCTCGATATCATTATCTATGTCATGCTCGTACTGGAAATTATCTGCAATTATATAGAAGTATTATCGATACCACTAACTGTGCACACTGCGTCAATATTTTTCTGATCGTATTTTGTGCCAAGTTCGCCTACATTTTCAAACATGAACCATTTGATAAATTTATGAGTTACTCTTTATTCTGATGGCCATTTCAAGCTGTTTTCGTACATGTATTTTTAACTATTCATAATGAGTTCACGACTGAAAATTGACAATTCTAGTGCTGTGAATAATTTTGCTACAGTCTGAAGATACGTAGTTCGTGTAAGCTAAAAGTGCCAGCTTTTACAGCAGAATGCTGCGGCTAAACCGTTTTGCTGTTACATAAGTCTCATTGTTGTATCTACATTGACTTTTTTTTTACATTTTTTTACATAAACGATACGCGTAGGCACTTCTGAAGTATAAAAGGAAATCTTATAAAGCTTCTCTGTGAACTGCTTATCTATGGCAGATAGATGTATCAATCATAGCCAATTGACTCTTATAGGTACATTAATGGCCTGTAACGGCTCGTAGTTTGTGATGAAATTAGATTGAATCTCGATAAAATTAGCGCTTGGTGTAAACGTGCGAACGGTTGAATCAATTTCGAGGAAACTATGTAAGTAAAAATATCTTTTTATATTATTACTAGAATGAAACGTATACGTATTGTTCTACTCGATACGCGAGAGAAAACTTAAGGATTCTCTAAGCGGACGAGTTGGATTGTCCAAGATTGAGCGACGGAGGTCGTTGACCATAAATTCCTCTACATTGTTGTTGTTATAAAATGTCGCGATGAAGCTCAAATACAGGACTTCCTGTACCATAATAGTGGTGGAAACGTCTCAGTCGTAACGAGTTGCGTCTACTCACGGGTATCTTTCTATTGACGAAAATAGCAACGGAAAACTACGATCCATTTGACCATCCGAATGAAACAAAAAATAGAAGAGCATTTCACGATTGTTACGGTGTTCGGCTTTTACAGTGTTCTTCTTCCTCTTATTCTTATGCAATTTCTACTGAAATCTAGAAGTATATAGTTGAAGTATAAATAAGTGTGAACCGATTTATTTCGATTACATCGGGTTTCCTATTTAGAACTGCTTAGGCGTACACACACGAACAATACCTTCAGAAAGAAGTTCAGACTTAACTTAACGCTTTACCCGAATATAACCAATAAGTTTCACACTTCTAGTTACGTGGTAGATGTACGTTAAGGGCTGCTTCATTGGATCATGTAGATTGACGTATTTTCGTCTATCAAAGGGTGCAGATGTGTGAAAATGGCTCGTGGCTTCAATGCTACGTCATGCGAAGTTTTGGCAGTTGATAAACACATAAATATGATGTGAGATTTCCAACAAACACGAGTGCAGGATTTGCTCTATATCTTCTTGCAGCTGCTCAGTGGTGGCAGTGGATTTCCACAGCTGACCAAAAGGGCCAACGTTGGGAAGATAAGTTGCCAGAAACGCAACTTCAATCAAGCTAAAAAGCTTCTTTAGAAGTTTTTGTTTTAGCTTGATTGACACTACTGATCTTGCATGGTGTTGCTTTCCGAGCAGGTTGCCCATAGTGCGTGTTGTCGTGGAGCTATCGAAAGCTGTTGGCACCCGACGCTGTGAGGCCTTGGGGCGGCGCCCCGTGGCTGGGGGTAGCAGAGATGTTGGAGGCCTGCGGGGTTTGGCATCCCGCGCTCCGGTCCTTGTCTTTGCTGAGACCTGCAACGGGCCGTCGCAAGTCTGTGGAGCGAAGCTCTCTCGGGATCCGTCGGTTAGCCGGTCGGGTCCTATCGAGTCTGATAGCTCACACGAGCCATGCCCTCCCGCAAGCAGTACAATCTAGTCGCCGATGAAGTCTTCGACACACGAGTTCCTTTACACTCTGACGACTTATTCCAACATGGCATTTCATTCAACGTCAAGGTACATCTTAGCATTTCGCTTATACTGCTTTATCAATCGATATCTGTAATGGTTGTAAAACATCACAAAAACGCGGCATATGCATAATAACTTCTTTTAAACGGTTTTGTATTTAACGCTTCTTGAAAGAGAAAAAATGATAAACAAATATTGGGCAAACAGTAGCTGTCCGATTTTAAAACGCAGTGATGCCGTTTTACGTTCTCTTTTTTTCAAAGCTTATTTGCTTTGGTCGAATCATTGGATAGAGGCTTTGTTCTAGAAAAACGAACCGAAATATTTTGCACAGCTACAAACTTTCCACCGTTGAATATGATATCAGACAAATGTTTTTCTAATTGCAGTTTATTGGTAGCCTGGACGTGCCCCGACCAACCAGCAGAGTGGAGATTGTGGCGGCTATGCGTCGAATCCGAGTGAGTAAACGAAATTTTTCCAGACGTCAAAAACACAGTGTTATAACAGTTAAGAATAACAGCGCCATGCAGAAGACTATAACGTCAAATGTCTTTCAAATATAAAGTTTCGCGCGACTCTAGATTACGCCAAGCTATGGATTGTGTAACATTTAGTCGAGTTGTTTGTACGTCTGTAAAGCTCATAACATTTTTAGGTCTAGGGGATTCCATTTAGTGTCAGCATGAAAGGGGGAACTTCAGTTGGAGTGCATACATCAAAAACTAGCAGCACAAGTATACGACATAAATAGCTAGGTTGATGCAACAAACAAGAAACAACTTATCCTAAACTTTGGCGACAAAACTTTAAAATCTGTACTATTACCATGACTTCAATTTCTACTTGTGCATCTTGCACTCGGTCCTATAATAAAGAGCTGACTAAAGTCGCACGTACGTGCAAATAACAAGATCGAAATTATTCTTCCAGCATGGACATCAGTCTCTCAGTGACAGTAATTGAACCTAACATATTCATCATGACCGATTTCAGTTCGAGTTTAAGGCCCGGGCGACTAAAAAAAAAAAGGTGACATTAACAGTATCGGTAGACGGAATCAAGGTTGTCGTTAGAAGAAACAGAAATAGTCAGGTGAGTGGTCGCCATATGCAAGACATTTGGGGAAGTGTTTGTGAATAGGGAGTCAATTTTTCATCTTAGAAGCAAAATTTTTTTAACCACCCTCAGCGTAAAATTCACAAATCCAGTGTCAGCTGTTGTTTACTTCCAGGAAAGGATTTCTTTCCAGGAAACCTCCAGTTACTAATGGTTTTTGTTGTGTTGGCTTATTTTTGCAGAAAGATTTTTGGGAATGGAATGAGAATGCAAATACGCTGCTCAATCACCCCATATATCGAATATTTTACGTGTCGCACGACTCGGCCGATCTCAAAATTTTTTCTTTCATTTCACGTGAAGGCGGTACCTCCGTGTTCAAGTGCAATGTCTTCAAAGCGATTAAAAAGGTTAGTGAATAGCTTCATTTTTTAAGCGGTAATTATTTTAAGCGGTGACATTAGAATGCTTCAAATATGCTTTTCTAAGGAGAAAAAGTCGCCAGAACATAGTTCCTTAACACTACGTCTATTACAAAGAATGTTTATGCCATACAAAAAATTTAAATCTAAATCTCAACTGTTTTTGACTTTAATGGTATCAGAAGATGAGATACAAATTTAGTGATGTACTTAATATTTTTACTAATATTGGCGTTCATTATATATTATTTTGCTTTCTGATTTCGAAACTATAAATTTAATTTTATTTCTTATAGGCTTCACTTATCATCATGAAAGCTCATGTTGAAAACCCCATTGCTTTAACATGAACTTGGAGCCGTTCGAATTACTTTGACGTTTAATGTCACCTTCTGATGAACAGCCCCACTAATGATCTGTTACCGAGGGCAGAACCTCACGGAGCTCGTTCGAACGTTCGCGTGGGTGATCTAATATGCTAGGATAAGAAATGATCGGGATAATACAATGGCAAGCTTCTTGGTGTCGCACGCATGTATTATACCATAAATAATTTGGTAGAAAAGTTTTATTACTACGATCAGGTGCTCTGTCAAGTGTTTCTTCAGATGGTTGAAAGCCTTCTACTAAATATCTCTCGAAGCGTTTGACTCGCATGAGCTACATTAAAGAAAAAAACTACTGCGCACCATTGTTTGTATGAGGTTTTTACGAAATTCGGTCGTCAGGACATCCGAGAAGCCAACGGACGTCAGAAAAAAGCGGGTAGCGACTAAACACAGAAAGTGAAGAGGAGCAAACGGCTGCGCGTTATTTAATACAATCTCTGCCTTCTATAGATTCTCCTTAATAGGGCACTATAATGGTCACTTGTGGTAAATGGCCCAGTCCGTCAGCTAGGAGGTCAGTACTACCACTGACGTTTGTTAAGGTTATCTGGAAGTCGTGTAACGCTTACTATTTCTATTTTATTTCGATCTGTATCGACGCCTAGCAGCCTTCTTTCAGGCTCTTCTATATAATTTTGTTCTCCGTTAGTTATCTCTGCTTCCCTAGCTCACTTTCAAGTCCGTTACTCACAAATGACGCTTATGCGCGAGTACATTTGTTTTCAATTTGCATCTGAAACGGCGAAAGTAAAATTCGTAGGAGCGAAAAGACATCGCATGGTGCGTAAAATAAATATCGCATACATCTCTCTTTTAATTAGTGTTGCCAAACTTTTAGCAAAGGACAAAGGAGACTTTTTTTTCTTGTTATCAAATATGAGCTTAAAAAATTTTTGGCTGATCACTTCACACCTTTCAGTGCTTGCTTATATAGAAATTACGCAAAATAAGGTTAGACAATATGAACATAATTCGGCTTTGAATACGACAGAGTTTGAAGATTTACTGAGAAAATTAAAGTTTAACAACTAAATATGAATACATTTGTGTGACGAGGTCGTTGGTGCCATTGCGAACTGCTTTATATGTTGCAGGGAAAATATACTTTGCCGAGATAAATGTCCTGAGGGTAAAGTAGCTTTCTCATAAGAAATTCAGCTGTATAAACTGACCACTATTTGGTGACACTCGTAGTAGAAAAATTCAGCACAACGCTTCAAGGAGACGTCATTATCTACTGCATGGTCCGCATGAGCGGCGTTATATAGACAAAAAAAACTGTAGGAAAACATTGTCTACTTTAATCGAAAAGAAAGCAGATAGATGGCATTTTGCCCAATCGCGTTCCCCTATAACTCTACAATGACAAAAACAGAGAACAAAGGCAGCTAAAAGAAGAGACAATAACCACCAATCAAATACAAACACACATAAAGACGAGAGCAATATTAAGTAAAACGTAACTTCAACGAAGGCTGGCACTATTACATTGACTACATGAAGTTGCCTTCAGACGGCGGGTTTTCTTTTGTAAGCCTTTACATAGCAAAAAAACGACGGAAAGTATAAAAACAGTGACATTTATGTATGCTGAGTGATCATATCTGTCAAATATTAGAAATGGTGGTTTCTAGGCTTCGATTTAGTTTAACGGTTCGGAATAGCATGTCAACTCCACCTACTTCAACGATTATTTTTAGTTAGATTGCTCGCATAGGTAACGGGTAGACTATTCCTAGGCAAGCAAACGTTGCTTCCAGCCTGACTCCTAACTAACACACATATCCCTGAACACGAAAGAACACCTACGTAGGCGACACACTGCTCTGGTCGGAAACTGTGTCTTATGGGGTTGAACTAGTGGAAAGCTCTGGAGAAGGAAAGAAAGACGAGAATGAAAGGGAGAGCAAGAAATGATTTTGGATGATGAATTTGCTCGTTTGTTGTTTTTTATGCGTAGTTTAGCCATCAGGGTCATCGGTGGTCTTTCAGGCTTTGGTGTCGTTGTTGCTGTTGCGGATGTTTTGTCGTGGCCGTCCCGGTAGCCTGTCGGCTGTCGTTCAGTACAGTGGGACTGCCTATAAGGTTTTGGCAGTTCCATAAGCGCCATGAGACTTTAGATAACGTAGTTTCGCAGTCCTCCTCAATGCAAGCAAGCAGTGCGCGTCCGTCTATCCGGGTGTCTATGTACCTGTGATGCTATCCACAAGAAGTAGTAGTAGCGACTAAAATAGCAATTTAGCGGGTGTCACAAGCTCGCGTAGTGACGTCTTTTTCGGCCTCGAGCGCCGTTGGCCATTGTTGAGGATATACTGTCGTTGGCTTTGCTTCTATATACGGAATGTTAGTTTACTGGGTTGCAGTAACAAGAAAGAGATTGTACGAAAACAGGCGCAGATTGCATAGCACTCTAGTATTTAGGTACGTTGTCACCGGGCAGGGGACCAGTGGCTTTTGACAGTTTTGTCAGTGCCGTAAAGGTTAATACCTATGATGAAAATGTCATCTTGACGGTTTGTGTACGTGTGAACCGGCTTAAGTCTGTTCTTACAATCATCCGTTTTCTGATACACTTTACGTATGTAATTGACAGGAAATAAAAGACTACTTCACGGCGCATCATGGTTGCGACAGTGTCGCTTATTGCGAAGCGATGGACCGGCTTCCGTTTCGGTCTCTCAAAGCCTAACCTCAATAGGTCCAATCTGCGCTTGATTGTCGTAATCATATCGTTATCAAGTATCGATACGCTATACAAATAATACATTTAAAAAAGCATGGCCGCGTACAATATAGCTACTGGAAAAAAATAGACATGTCTAAGCGAAGTATTAGAGTTTTTCTGAAAAAAGGGACTAAGCCTGCAACTGTTTGACAAAGGTTTCTAATTATTCTGTTATCTGATGTTTGTTCGCCCGGAAATGCGTCAAGCAGAATGATCGAAACAATCAAGTCCCAGAGGAAAAATGTATTAGCTTGGATACACGACCTCATGCTTAAAGCAGTACTAATATCACGCACATATTCAACTGCACACAAATTGCGTCAGATAGATCAGAAAATGTTTCCCTAAAAGGCTGCAATGGCTATTATTGATCGTACATTTGCAGTAAATATCTCTGCGGTATCGATAATATACCCTAAAATAATCGTATTGCAAAGTATAATAGCTTTCGTTCCTTCGGGAGAGGTGTGAAGAATCTGCATGGTTGTTTTACAAATTGGAAGATACCAGTCTACAACAACAGACAGACTGAGCTTTTTAGCGATGTTTAAGTTGACATAACCGCGCAGGTTCACATGGTCCCGAGATGTCCTAGTCATGTTTTTGGAATGGTGCAGATTTTTTTTAAAATTTGCTACTTGTGTGCGACGTTTAGTGACTTAAAGAGGGAATTCGCAATTTGGCAAGTCACTTCCGTTCAAGACTATAATTTTTCTCTTTTAACATCATCAAATACTACAAGTTATACTATTTTTTCACAGCGGAAAAACGCAGTACGAAGTCGAAGAGACAAAGATGCATAGTTATGTCGAAGCAGGCGTCAGTGTTTTTAGATGTCTTTGTACGAATTGCAATCGAGCTATACGGCCGTTATATGCTCTTTTTGTTTCGTAATGCTAGGCGGCTAGATCTCTTCAAGAAGGACTATGCGCCCGCAGAGAAGTCTTCGAAACAGCTGTTGCTCAATCAGGTACTTGTTTTGAGTATCTAAGGGCAAAGTTTTGCGTGTATAACAGCCAAGTCGCCCCGGCAAGTCTGTCAATACAGGAAATAGTTAGTAACAGGATCGCTTCTGGTGAGCCAGGCTCACGCAAAGTTTTCGTGATAGTGCAATGAATAACGCATTTGCCTATGAAAATTGGGGACACGTGAGGTGGTTTAGGTTATAGTTCGGACACCATAGAAACACTTTGCCTTGTGAAGAAAAAAGCTACTTACCTGTAGTGATACATTTAGACTTACAGAAAAAGAATCGAAAACGATTGGCCCGTCCAGATGAACCGGCCTCTCAAATCCAAGCATTATATTAAAGTATAACAAACGAGTTAGCTGTACGACATTCTATGTATGGTTACCTGTGGCGTTTTAATAAGATCTCACAAATTATTCATCTCTGTTTCAGTGGACAACGATAAAATAAATTTATAAACAAAAACCCGCTCCAAGTAACATTATGAAAGTGTTTGTAAAATTTTCATTGTTGATCTTTAATCAAAAAAATTATATATATATATATATATCATTGTCGCAGCTGATGGCTTAAGGGCGCGTTAGTAGAGAAATTTTTTGTCGGCGTCAAGCTTGTCGTTTTAGATATAAGAACTTGTTGTTACGGTATTTGATATGTAACTAGAAAGTTAGGTGCGAGGTTTTTCTTATTAATGCGTTCTATTTTACTCGTGTAAAAGTAACAGGCCCATTATACTAATATTTTAGATATTAAACTGTAATCGAATGTTGTTTTGCACTGCATAGTTGTTCATTGATCGTACGTTGAGCATACCTGTTGAGGCAAAATATACACCTGAAAGCTTGATGTGTATCAGTACGAACGTTGATGATTACCATTTTGCTACTCTTCAACGGTGGTATGG